ACCATAAGCTATAGCATATAAACCCCATAGCTGGCTTCATGGAACATGTTAAAAACATAGAAAATAAAACACAATATGGCTTACATTGTAACATGATCCAATAGATACCCAAGTTTCTATAGTATTTCCTAACCTGATGCCCTCCATGGGCTGTGCTGACTTAAGATGGGCATTTTATTCAATAAATAAGAGCAGTAAACCCAAAAGGGTGCCATACAATATGCCAGACTGAAGTCTATATTTATTTTCCTGAAAATAGTGGCAGAAATTCTGGGTAAACGTCTATTGGTATTTCACTGAAGAACACAATAAATATATCAATGTGATATATCTAAGATACACAATAATGGCATCCATTTATGGAGATTAACATTTCTATTGCCTTTTTGAATATTTGTATGAAGGCTGGAAAAGGGACCAGCCTCTGCAAGCTTAAGTAGCAGGTAGAAGAAATGAGGTTTTACATTTGATCTAATACAATATATATATATATATATATATATATATATATATATATATATATATATATATATATGTGTGTGTGTGTGTGTGTGTGTGTGTGTGTGTGTGTGTGTGTGTGTGTTTTATGAAGACTTTTATGAAGAGTTGCACTATTTATGGGATTATTTTATCCAGTTATATTTGAAATTTGCTTTTGCTTTTTTTTTTTTTACTGATGATGTAATTCATATTTTATCTTTTAGCACAATGATCATTGTCCAAGTCATGGTGTTTGTGTTATGTAAATGCCAGTATGGTAAAGTGGTTAGGTTGTAGTCCTTCCTTAGACACAGAAGCTGTCAGGATGATTTTGAAGCAGACTGAAAAGTTAAAAAAAAAAATTAGCTTGTACCATGTTGAACTGGACTAGAGTGATAAATTACATTCCATAATGTATGGAATTTATATGCTGTAATTAGTGAAGAAGCCCCTCATCCTGTAGTAGATTGATTCAGTTTGACAATAACAAAAATATTAGATTTATATGCTGGCTTTATTTTGTATAAATCAGAGTCATGTATATACTGCTCTCATTTCCTATTTTCTCTACAACCGTGCAAATGCATTGTCGTGAGGGAGAGTGACTGGCCCAAAATCGCCCAACCAGCTTTCATGCCTTTCATTCCTTTCACATATCTCTCTCATTTCCTGTCTAAGTACAAGAAAATTTTTACTATAATTTGTACATGCCAAGCATACACAATGCTGCCAGCCATCACTTCACCTTGATTTAATGCTTTATTATGGTATCTTCCATAGATGCTGATTACTGATTAAATGTAACTATTTAATTCCCCAACCTGGAAGAATGTTACTGCTTTTCATTCCTAGAGATTGCAGCAAGGAGATTCTTTTCTTAACTGGGGAAATTGCAGGCACTCTAGTTCAAAGAAGAATATCTAAGACAGGCAGACCAAAATTCATTTTAACCATGAATTGCTTGGAACTAGCCCTGAGTAAATCTGATTCGCACAGTGCGCTAAGACAAAATAAATCAAACCACATGATGGCTTAATAACAAGTTCCGCAGTGTTGTATTGAGGGGTACCAGCATGCTTACAGAACTTCACTGGCCTTTGATGGACTCCATGACACACCTGACTTTTTCACATGCTATTAACATTAATTTAATTTTTAAAGAAAGAAATGGGAATTGGGCATTCTGGAAAGCAGCATCTCCATCATCATCTTTATTCTCAAGAATGCTTCAAGGCCTTCAATGAATTCCAGAAGAATGATTAGAAAATAAACACGGTAGGTGACTGTAGCACAGGGCTTTATTTGGAAATGTGAACATTTGCCCAAAGAAAGGAAAGCAGTGAGGGTAGGAATGTGCTGCAAGAGAGGATAGCAAGAAGCAATATGATTAGTGAATGCTTTGTAGCTGGTTATACTTCTTATGGCAGAAGGTGTGATACACATGAGAAACAAGGGAAACTTCTATTGTACCACTATGGCTACCATGTGGATGTTTTTATCCACAGCCCTGTCACCAATTGGTTTTACTGAATGCCCTGAGAATCCAGATTCAGCCTTGCTTGCAATGCAAAGCTATTACCACTCAGTCTTACAGCAATTTTGTATACAGTACTAAAGTTATTTGATGAAAGATTTAGGAAGCAATAAACTAGTTTTTAATATTATTATGGCAAGTAATTTCAAATACAAGCAAAGGTAAATAAACCTTGAGTTTAGATGAACTAAAATAAAGACAGAATATTACATAATTTCAAACTCTAGTGACTAATAGAATCTACTAAGGAGAAAGGATTATATGCCCAAGGCAGCATTTGTCTAGTTCAAGGGCCTATTTTCACAAACAACAAGAATTCATTTTCTTGTGTTTGCCATCTCTCAGCTTCACACTCATTTCCATTTTCTGCAATTGCCCGTCTTCTGCAAGCTTTACTAGATTTTCATTAAATTTAAATATTTTCGTCTTTATGTATTTTTAATGGTTAATTTGTTGGTTTTTTAAAAGTGTTCTAGTTTTTGAGCATTATCAATAGTTAATGCTATTGGGTTGTTTTTATTGTTTCAATTGTCCTTTTAATATTTTAAATATTTTAATTGGCTTTGTTGCTTTGATGTTCTTCCTCTTTCTTTTTAAGGGCTGCCTTGTATGTTAGCCAGAATGCAACTCCTAAATATAAAAAAATGCATAATGAATAGCACTTTTTCACGCCTGCTGTGACCAATCTTCCCATTTGCTGGAGTGAGGTGTCCCATTTTATAGATCAGATTTGGAAGATAGGGTAGTTGCTCTATTAAATACAACAAAAGTTCAGCTTAATAAAATATAGCTTTTTTAAAAAAACCAAAGGATATACACCAATATATATATATATTTTTGCCTTGGGTACAGAATGCGTGGACTGCTACTGCTGCATATTGATATGTAAGTGTTCCCTAGAAACCACTGTAGATTTCTTCCTGTTGCCCCACTTATGCACACAGGGGAGGCATTTGTCTTCCTTGTGTTGTTTCCTAATAGCTGCAGACTCAGAAGCTCTTTAAATTCTTCATTTGTTTTGCATAGGAAAAAGATTTATAGCCAACACTAACCATTAGCCTATGCTAACTATTAAAAATGTATAAAATCAGAACAATAAAATATTGATTCCATTGGTTAGTCTGATTTTGTTTTCCTGTTATGCAGCTTTGGAGGTGACTGAAGTAAGAAAAACTAGGTTGCTTTTGTGCTCAATTCCAAGATGGCCAATTCTAGGATAATCATAATTAACCCCAGTTAAAAACAGAGAAATATTTTTCTTTGCTGAAGATTCCAGAGAGCCTCTGCCAGTCAGAAGAGAGACTATCATGGACTACACAGGCATATAGTTCAAAGTCTGACTGTAATACTTAAGCTTTGCATAGAGATCATCACAGGTTGTCTTTTGCAATTTCTTTTCTCAAACATGATAATCAATGGAAGGACATTGTTTGGGAGTACAGCTCAAGGTTTTCTTTTTCCAGAGCAGGAATAAGAACACTACTTATCCAAATGCTTAATCAGGCAAATGAATCAGGTGATAAGATTTTCAAGCTGGACTCAAGTTTGTGCCAAAATGTTCAGGAATGAGGGAAGTAAAAAACAATATACCTTTATTTTAAACTGGAACCTTAATTCACTCTGGCAATTTCAATAGAAGCTATCTGGAAATCTTTGGTTAATTTATGTGTAGTTAAACACCAATAGGTTTAATGGCATTTACTGTACTTTCAGATCACTGGACTATGTTTGTTACTGACTACAACACTAGCAATATACAGTAGTTGCTTTGCATTCTGCATTGCAAGTGGTACCCATATGTGGAAGTGGAAAAACAAGGAGAAAATTATGGCACACCCAGACTCTTCACATTGTTGTATTCACTTTCTGCATTAAGAGAAGCAGGGAGGCATGCTGGCCACTGTCAGGCATGTGGGAAAATTTTGTCATTCAACAGGTAAGGATAGAAGGAAGTGAAGGTGTTTTCGTGGTTTGGCTTCCGGAAGGAAAAAGTAAGGACAGATATTCTTATGAAAGCTTCTAAGAAAGGCTGCTTATTTATGCTGGAACATTTCTCCTGTGACTGAAAGCTATCCCTGTCATTGACCTTTTGAAACCCAATGGCATTGGAGGAATATGCAAGGGTGGCATTGATCTAAATTGGGCATGGTCTTTGTATACACAATGAACCTACACAGAAGTTATTGGGTCACCCTAGTTTGTGTACACTGTACTTAACTTAAAAATAATGATAATGTTAAGTCTTCTGGAACTCTAGTCCTACTTTAAATAGCCCCATGGTTTACTTGTCAAAAGTACTATTTTGCTCCAGAAAAATATGTTACATTTTAGAGTTAAACAAATCAAAAGGAGCATCATTAACTATGTAGAGGCGCAGCCGGATAACTTTAAAAAAAAGAAAAAAAAAAGAAATACAAAACAGGAGGTGGGACCAAGCCCTCGGGTGTATTAGCAGCATCACCAAACTTCGTTTCTGCTCCATCACTTGTCGCTTTTCAGATGGCGAAATGCAGTCCTAGCGCTGCGCCTCAGGTGCCTGGACTTCTGTCCCCAGGAACGGTTCTGAGGCTCCTCTGCAAGTAAATTTCCCGTGCATAAGCACAACCGGCTAGGTTTATACTACCCACGAAACCATCAAACAAGGCTCTTAAATCACAAGCTATCGCAGTTATGACTAAACGCGGCTGCCAGCCCAGCCGCAAACCCTCACGCGAAGCTCCTTTGCTTTTGCAGTGACCACACCGCCGATGCCGCTAAGCTGTTGCGGTTAACGTGTATACAAGGAACGCGTGAAAAGCGCTGGGATATACAATAAAAATTCCGCCTAGCCACCCTTTCTGCTGCCCCTTTCGACAAAGAGAATTAGGTCGAGGGTCCCTGGGCCGCTTAGCTGGCGACGGGCCTCCTCCGAGTTCTTTTCCGCTTTTATTTGCCATCCCCGCCCGCGGGGGTGAGTTTCTCCCCCTCCGGGAATGGAATCCAGCCGCGCGCATTCCTGAGCAGGCCGAGGGGTTGCTGGGACTTGTTTGGCTCAAGCCACCTCGAATGCTTCATTCAGTTGTAAATTTGTCTCTGCCTGCCTCTCCGCCCACCTCTTTGGCCCGGGAGCAAGCGGCTGTGACTGCGGCCGTCAGGTGTGCATCTCGGTTTAAGTCGGCAGGATGAGTAGGAGAGGGAGTAAGTGAGGAGGAGGAGAGGGCGAGGAAGGGAAGTGGGCAAAGGGGAGGCAAGCGCGAAGAAGGACCCCTTCAGCTCGGGAGTTTTCTCCCTCTGGAATTAGCCCATCGGCTGAAAAGTTTAAGGTAACGCGAGCCTTCGTGGTACGAGTTGTGAGGGAGGCGGGAGAAGCGGTGCGTTTTTCCAGTGCTGGAGGCGGCTTAGGGGTCTTTTGTTTCTGCTGAGCAGATGTCAACAAATCCTGCAGCAACTAAGGCCAAGGATGTAAAACAGGTGATTCCATATTTGTCTTTTATTTTCTCTTTCTCTCCCTTGTCCCACTTCTTTGCAAAGAGCCATGGATCTTAGATGGTGCTATTTCAGTGTTGACTGATACAGTTTGTAATAAGCATGGGAAATATGATATTTCTCAAGTGACTTAGGCACGAGGCCCAAGATAGCTTGGAAAAGCTTGCTCTACCTTTGTCCCTAACTCAGGATGTTTGCAGAATCCAGCCATTGTGATTTATTCAACAAACAGTGGCTAAAAGTGATATATGAAGCCAGTCTTTTTTTCCTCCCTCTGCCCCTCCCCCCATGAAGATGGAGAGGTTTGTCTATAGTTACTGCTGTGAAGGAATAGCACTGTACCTGGACAGCTGTCTCCTCTTTTTAATTCTCTCACACTTGCAGATCTGAGCTGTGGCATCAGGTCTTAGTTCTGAGGATAAGCCCTTAGTCGTTTAACATAAAACCACCTGTGATTTCAGATGCCTTAAACTACCCCCACAGTGTTGTGTTAGGCCATTGTTTCTATTTGAATAACAAGGTCATTTAAGGTGGGATAAAAGTTTTATTATCCATAACCTATCCCTTATAATTGATTCATATTATTATATGACAAAGTCCAAACTATGTGTACTTTAAATAACCAAGTTTCAGGAGAGAGAAAGGTGTGGCAAGAAGGATATTTAATTATATAGGGATGAAAAGAAGCATCAGTATTTGGCAAATCAGATAAAAGGCAAATATTGTGTTGTAATATTGAGACAAGATATTGTGCTTTTTCAGACTTACTTGGGATACTCAAAATTCCCTGAGAAGCTTAATAGACAAGAGATGCTTATTCTCGCACTGAGGATAATGTGTAAACTCAAAAGGTTTCCAAAAGAAAACTTGGTTTAGTACTATTAAGATCTCTGTGGCACAGCAAATAAGATAATACGGACAATGTGGTGGCTATTATCTAATCTCAATTACTATTTTAAATGTTTTAGTTTTATATGAATGTGTGATTTTGAATCTGTTACTTTCACCATCAAGAAATAGATACATAGTTCTTTGGATACAGAATTTATGCAGACGACTAATGCTACTAATACATAGCCCCAAGGAAACTATGTGTAAGTGATGAGATTTATGCGCTATGAATCAGCAACATGTTTGCATGTCTGGGATTGATGATTCAAAAAATTTCTTTAGAATTCTGGCCCTTTCCTCTTAATCGTAGTTGGACTTGGGAGAATTGAAGACCTGAACTTGCTCACATTTAGCTCATAGAGGAATATGACTGTCATTTTCACTGCTCTAGGCAATCATTTGGCAGAGATGGCTTTTTCCAATCTGACAATGTTGGTAAATATCAGCCAGCAGTTGTTAAAGTCCCAAGAACCCAATTGTGTTTTGGTGTAACTAGTTCATAGATCATGCCATGAATATTTGTATACATATATGTCATTGCTCTGTTTTTATTTTCCCATCCATTCCAATTGGTCTGAAGACGATCTGCCACTGATTTCAGTTCTACATAGCTTGAAACACTGAAACACTGTCTCCTTCTATGGAGACAGAAGGGGAAGTGATAGATGAAAGGGAACGAGGAGCTAGGGAAATATGTTTTTTTTTTTTTTTAGTGAGAAGGTAGACTCCTGATAAATGCTGCCATTTCAGCAAAACATCAGTTGAGCCATCAATATATGGATTTGGCTCCAGGAGGCAGAAACATGAGATTGGAAAAATTGCGACCTTAATAAGAACTAGTACTAAGATCTCACATGGAAATGCCTAACTTACAATGTGGTTTGAGCTTAGTATATTGTGAACTCCCAGCCATTATGGATTATGATTAAACAAACTATAGCAAGATAGAACATGTATTAATATGATTTGTAAGTCCAGACTATTTCTGTGGCTTAGCTACATTTATATAATTTGTTAAACAAGCCATCTGTTGAACAAGTGATCTGGCTTACAATAAAGCATGATGGGAAAGTTCAGTCATTATAGTAAGCTAAAATCAAATCATGATGAAACCCATAAACCATTTGAGTATGAGGGAAAGATACAGGACAGGTATCATTTGATAGGGACCTAGCAATTTCTGTTTTTCTGTCTTTGACATCTTATTTACCATGTAGTACCTTATTGAGAACCTCTGTCCCACTTCTTCCTGCTATGGAAGACAGAGTAAGGGATAAACTTTTGATTTTAATCTATGCATATATGATGCTTCCTTATACTATATCATAGAATTGATTTTTGTAGCTTACTTCCATTTTCTATGATTAGTGGTTGCTCTCAAGAAATTCTGCTACTCAAAATTGAAGTTGGTTTATCCCAATAATTCCAAGCTATGGATTCTCCCCGAAGATGGAACATTCCAGTGACTTTGGACACAGAACAAGCTGGTCTGTATATTTTGAATTTATCTTTTTAGCTGTCTTGCCTTTTTGCTTCTGTGACATGAACAGAGTAGACCGTATTATTTTATCTTCACTTTGCTGCTTCTGTTTAACAACAACAACAAAAAAATTGCTATAGCAAGATAGTTTGATTGAACAAGATTATCCTATAAAATTAAACTTTGTATGAACCAATTTTTCCCCAACCTAAATTCCTCCAGATGTATTAAACTAAAGAGTTCCTAAAAACCCTGCACTATGAGTGGCAACCAATTTGGAAAGCTGTTGTGGAACTCAGACTCCTGAAGCATTCACTACTGCTTCTTTTGTTCATTTAAATGTAGCTTAAGATCTCTTTGCACATTGCTGGTAAATTGAAATTTTTGCAATACTTTCTTATTCTGGTTGGAATTTGAAGATTCCAACCAGTGAATCTTCAGTGAAGATTAGTAGTATTTCTGAACTAGTAAATTTTGCTCTGAGAATTACATTATGTATTCTCACATTGTGCTAAGCCAAAATGTGCTTAACTGGGTTTTGCATCTGTTGAGTGAACCTAGTAGTTATGGGTTATTCAGAAAGTTGTTAAACTAACTTCCATAATGTACAAGCTTCCTAGTAATTTGTCTTTTGAGTTCTCAGTAACTTGTCAAATTCCAATTCCCTTTGTTAAGGGAAGGCAGTTAAAAGTTAGACTTCAGAATTAAATAGTGACCATTGTTTCCACACTTGTACAATGTATCCATTCCTACTGGCTATCACTGAAATTGCTAAAATAGTTTTGGTAGAAAACCAACTATTTGGATCTATATCTTTGAAGACTTTGGATATGCTAATCTACTTGACTGTTCAGTGCTTTAGAGAAGGCTGTGGAAACTCCTTGAAGTGGGAAAAGAAAAATAGCAGGAAGTCTGCTCAGGCAATGGAACAGCTTATCTTGCTGCTTGGCAACTTCTTAGTAGCTTTGCTCTTATTTGAGGGAGTGACTGCATGAATTCCTAGTAATTTTGTCCCCTGGAGTAAAGTCTAACTTTTTTTAGTGGAGATAATAATTGTAGTTTGCTTAATATTAGGGACATTGGGGCAGAGGGAACCTATGGCTCCCAACATGGTTCTCCTTATTGACTGGGATAGTTAAGGTTTTGGCATTGAATAATTTGCATACTGTTGTTTGTTTATTGAAGCCTTCTTCACATTATTGAATAGTTGGATTTTCTTTCTATGTGGAGCTGTATAGACTCTAAAATGCTCTCCCATTCTATTTGGTTTGATCAAACTGATGGTCTCTAATAAGTATGTATTAGCTCAGTGTTTCTCAACCTTGGGCACTTTAAGAGATCTGGGTTTCAGTTCCCAGAATTCTGCTTTATCTTGCGGTTGGGAGGATTTTGACTATTATCAAAGCCAATAAAGGCTACAGTCAATCAGAGTCAGATCAGCATTGTCAGACTGTATGACTATTTTCTTTCTGCATGCCACTTTGGGCCTTTTGTTCCTTCTGCTGTTGTATGATGTGCTAAACTATTGTGGGGTTTATTTGAATTTGGTGTAGCAAATTGTATGAATGCCACCATTATAGTTTGTCCAGCAAATCATGACTTGGTACAAGAAAGAGAGTGAGAAACAATAGATTTGGAGGCTTGGATGATACTGAGAGTTTCAAAAATTAAACTAAGGGCTGAAAATTGCATGGATCACTTGAGCCAAAGAACTGCATTTAAATTATTCCATGTTTAAGACAGGAATAAGAAGTAAAGGTTTCACCATAAAAATGGGTTTGAAATAGATTAAAAACAGAAAAAAATAGTCACAAAATTTAGATGTTTGGTTAGGGACTTACTTCCAAGATTTCATATATCTGGTAATTATAATAGATGTCTTCAATTAAACTGGCCTAATCTCCAGCTTGTACAGCCATCTGAAGTGCATTAAAATGTGGAATTGTTTTTATGTCTCTGTCATCCTTGTTGATAGTGTTTATTTGCAGGTAATTGTTTCTCAAGAGTTGATAATTTGCAGACCATGCTAAATGTGGTCCCAGACTTCTCTTTTTACAACCCTTGGAGCTAATTCTGACTTTAATAGTTCTTGTCATTTTGAGATGAAAAGCATAGGAAAATTAATATGTATTATGTATTATTATTATTATGCTGTGTGGAGATTTGCATTTGAAAGGTAAATTGTGATTTAGAGATTTTGTAGGTAGACAGCATATTCTTGGAACATGTTAAAGCAGCTACATCTTTTCTTGAGCTTGTGCATGGTCATTACTATTTTGTGTGCCTTAAAATAAGAATGTTATAGTTTTAAAAAACAAAGAAATTCCCCAAGACTCCCCACTCAAATTTAATTTTATATACATGCAGAATGTAGCTCTTGTCATGGGACCAGATTATTTAAGGGCTTGCCTTGCTCCAACTTCATCTGCCATCTCACCAGATCCAGCAGAGAGGGCACGTCACAGGTTCCGTGGTCTAGGGCAGGGCTTTTCAACCTTTTCACAGATTGTACCAGTTTTAGGATATGGCAATATTTGAGTATCACCAGTTGCCTAGCAAGGTGTCAAAAACTTGATGACCCCAAAAAAAAGAAAAAAAAAGAAAAATGATAAAATACAGGTAATCCTCAACTTACAATATTTCGCTTAGTGATTGCTCGAAGTTATAACAGCACTGAAAAAAATGACTTATGACCATTTTTCACACTATGACCATTGCAGCACCCCTAGGATCAGGTGATTTACATTCGGATGCTTGGCAACTGATTCATATTTATGATGGTCACAGTGTCCCAAAGTCATGTGATCCCCCTTTGCAGCCTTCTGACAAGCAAAGTCAATGGAGAAACCAGATTCACTTAAGAATTGTGTTACTAATTTAACAACTGCAATGATTCACTTAACAAATGTGGCAAGAAAAGACATAAAATGGCACAAAACGCATTTAACATATTTCTCACTTAGCAACATAAATTTTGGACTTAATTGTGGTTGTAAGTTGAGGACTTTCTGTACACCCACTTAACCACACTATTAATGGGAAACTTGTGCTTGTTTCTCTGACATTAATTTTTGCACTCTTCTAGTCCCTTCTCTCCTTCTAGTTGACTCAAAGAAGCCTCTCCTCTTCTCTGTCTCTCTTTCTCCATCCCCTTCTCTTTCCACATTGGTTTTTTCCTCTCTTTTTCCCTCCAAAACCTTTTATATCAGCTCCTTTCTCCCCCCCCCTCTTTCTTTTCTCTTTGGTGTAGCTGCAGCTCTCCTTTCCCCAAGGCTGCGAGCTGCTTCCAGAAGCGCCAATCAGCTGGAGCCCCATGCAGATCCTGGGTGCTCAGCAGAGCCCTGGCAACACCACAGTTCCAGCTGACTCTCCCACAGGCCTCTGCGGCATTGCCGCCAGTTCAGCTCATCCCCACCACTATACTTTTACACTTTTTTTTACACCCTTTTTTTACAGTGCTTTTCAACCTGTCATATGTATACTACCTCTCAGGTGCTGAAATACCACCAGTGGTACGTGTTCCACGAGTTGAAAAGCACTGATCTAGGGAGTTATATTTAATGGGCCTTAGGAAGTGGGCCTTCTCTGCAGCAGCCCACACATTGTGGAATTTTCTGCTCACCTGAGATGAGGTTGGCCTCATCTTTTCTGAGCTTCTGAGACTTCCTCAAGATTTGATTGTGTCAGCAGGCCTGGCAACTGCAGGGATCGGTGAGCTAGTGAGGTGGTTCTGCTATTGTTAACATCCCTTCACCTACTTTTTTTTAACTTTAGCTCAGTTTTCTGTAATTTTGATGCTTTGATTGTTAATAGTTATATTTTTTAGGTGTTTATTGAATATTGTAAGCTGCCCAGAGTCTAAAAATAAATATACTTTGTGGTGCTCAGTCTCCAATAAAGAACAGCCCTATTAAAATGATGTGAAAAATCCAACTCCCAAACTGTTTAAAAGCACTTGAGGAAATTAATGTCCTTAATTTCAGTACCACTTAATATGTGTTCATAGGACCTAAAGATGATATCATCCAGGTCCAAAGTCTTTCTGAAGAAGAAGAAGAAGAAGAGGAAGCTTTGTGGGAGAAGATTGAGAGTGTGCGACACCAACTAACTCGCTCTTTGAATCCAGAAAAGCTGACACCCTACTTACGTCAGTGTCGTGTGATAGATGAGCAAGACGAAGAGGAGGTGCTGAGTGCCTATCGATTCCCATGCAGGAGCAACCGAACAGGTGAGAGATGTTTGGAATTTGCATGAAGGAGAAATCAGTGAAAAGTCTCTTTTTTTGTTTAAAGTACAATATAGAGAGTTAGTTGGCTCTTGAATGAAAGGAAGGGATCCCATCGTGGCTCTGTGTACCTTAAAAAAGTCATGCTAGAGCAGACCAAATCTCCATGTAGCTCAGCAGTTTTTTTTTTACCTTAAGGCTTTATGGAACTGAAATCTAACTTAGATGTTCTCAAAGTCCAGCAAAAAGAAAAACAAAATCCACCTTCTTTCTTTTTAGTTTCTGTTATTGATTTTTTTTATTTCCCTTTGCTGTTGAGGGTGATGGAACATGAGAATGGTATAGTATTGTATAACTTTATTGATTAGTCAGTTGACCATAGCAAAAGTATGTTAATGTAATCATTGACATAAATCTACAATTAGTTGTCAAGCATTGTGACCAGAAAATTAGTTGCCAAGCATTGTGATCATTAAGTGAATTTACAACATTTTTTTTAGTTGTGGTCATTAAGTGAATCACCACATTTACTGCTGGTTTTCAGCAAAATTGCATCCATAATAAACCATTGATGGGCAGACTCCATTATGGTTATAACTTTTGAGGACTGTATTTTCCTTTTTGCTTAACCTTATATAAGACCTAAAGAATTTCCCTAAATCCTGCTGTCTTGACTTGACTCTCATATCCTGTAAATTGAAAAGGCCATTGCTGTTCTTATAAAGGTTCTTATAAAGGTTAGACCAAGTTTACAGTTTCTGGCTTTATAATTCTAGAATGGGAATAGGCTACCATATTAAATCCTATATTATGGCTTACTGTGACTGTAAACCTAGCTAATTGTTTATTCAAAAAATCATAATTTATTTAATGAGCCAGAATTTGGCACATGATGGCTTCATGTGATATGCAAATACCAAACCTAGGATTCTGGTTGCTAATCACATAAAGCCACCATTTGTACCCTATCCGTGTGCATTTTTTTAAAAAACCCTCTGCAGGACTCCTGATGGATATCCTTCGAAGGCGAGGGAAGCGAGGCTACGAGGCATTCTTGGAGTCCTTGGAGTTCTATTACCCTGAACATTTCACCCGACTGACGGGAAAGCAACCTGTTCAGCGTTGCTCTATGATCTTGGGTAAGAGATTGTAAGAAACACAGTATGCAGTCAGATTTAGAGAAGCTTGATTCTACTTTGGGTGAAGGAGGGCCTTCAAAGCTCTTGATAACGCAGTTTGTATATATGCATAAATAGATGCCTTATTCAACTTTCTGCTGGTATTGAGAATTTTATGTGAAATTGCTTGGCCTGTATTGTACTGAAATGTCTATATTTGTCCTGTTTTGATTTTGTTTTGAATGCTTTCCTAACAGAAAGTGGCTGTCATTTAGAGGATTAGATACTCCAGGACTGGCTTTATAATGGTCATCAAAGCAATCTGATTTTGAGATTTGCAGAAATAGAAATAGCCACATGGATATTTTTTAGAATTGTCCTACCAGGAATATCATCTATTCAGGGTGGTAATAGAGAATGCTTCATGATATCAGGATTATGTTTCTGTATATTGGTTAACTGTTTTGCCTTTTTTCTGCAGCTTCCACTGATATATCTTTTGTTGCTATATGTGAATAGAGTCCTATATTGTTATCTGTGAACAAATGTTATTTTTATTTGAACAGCTCTCTTCCCAAAATAAAAGCAAAACATATAGTTTGAGCTCACTTACTCTTAAAATAATCCAATCTGCTTGCATTTTAATAAATTACCATGTGATTATACAGTTTGTGTTTTCTGAATGCAAAATATGTGTATAATAGGTATGCATTGGAGAAACTTCTCCATGTTAGAAGTATGCAACAATAAACAGGCCTCACAGAGAATCTGGTGCAATTCTCAGGAAATACAAGTTGAAATGTATGTATATTCATATAGATTTGAGCAAAGGAATTTTGTTTGCCACAAGTGTCAGATGGATAGATTTTCTATAGAACAGTTTTACCATGAACAAGTGCTACTTTTGCACCTTATGCAGCTATGTGCTCGCAGTGATGATTGACCCAAATTTTAAGCATACATGCATGTTTATAAACAGACTATTTCACATATTAAGTGCTTGCAAATTAAGTTTGAAGCAAGTTGGATTATTGAATTATACATGAGGTGTTCTGACTGATGGTTCCTAGCATTTTGTCTACTCGTGGCACTAATCTGATGATCGTCCTCTGTCCCTTTTCCAGATGAGGAGGGTCCTGAAGGCCTGACTCAGTTCCTGATGATGGAGGTGAAGAAGGTGAGGGCCCAACGAAAGGAGCACCTGGCCAAAGAACACCAGCTCCAGATAAAAAACCAAGGCTTAGAAAAGGAATGTAGCCAGTTGAAGCAACAGCTCCAGGGATTACAGAAAGTGCAAGAAGGTTGGCAGAGGTTCCAAGAAGAGTGGGATACCAAGAGCCTGGAGTTGCTAAGGCTGAAGGATGAAAATTATTTGCTGGCCATGCGCTTTGCACAACTATGCGAAGAGAAAAACGCTGCTGTCTTAAGGAGTAGGGATCTGCAACTTGGGGTATGGTGAGCAGGGTGTGCATGCCGTTATATGTACACACATGAATGCATGCTAATATTTGCAATTCAGTACAATGGAATTATGTCCAAATTAAAGTAAGCTCTCTTCTCTTGATCCAGGGTTATTTTGTTATTAAAATAGTGTTTGGGTAAATGTCTCCTACAAATCCTAGTAAAAAAGAAATATATAAAAAAGTACCAGAAAATCAGTTCATCTTGCTTTCAGTTTCTTGGCACTTTCTGCTATGTCTGGTATAAAATTGCTTCTCTTGTTCCATAGTTTTTCATTGCATTGCTCATTTGGAGGAACTCTCACCTTCACCTTTACCTTTCTAATTCTGTTTTCTGCTGAGTTTACTGCTGTCCCTTCCTATCTGCTCTAAGTTTTTTCTCCTAAGTGTGCCCAAACATACTTAATCTACACTTACCTCCAGGGTAACTCATGACCCAGATGATACTCCTAAATGCCAAACCCCTACTCCCACAAATTTGTGAAATGCAGATTGTTAAACATTTTGAAAATTTGAAAATTAAACTGTATTTGTGCCAAGTTGAGTGTAGGTTCTATTCAACATGAGTTTCCTGATTGTGATCCCTATTAGCTAGGAAATTTGAACTTTCATAGTTTGACATTGCTGGTGTCCTTTTTAGGGAGGATAGATTTGTGGTTTTAGATTTGAACAGAGTCTTGGAAAATCAATGACTGAACAAATGTGTTTGGCACTTGTGTTTATGAATCTTTATGTTAGATAAGTTAATAACAAAAACATGATTTATAAATATATTTTAAAATTTATTCTGAACTAACAGTTTTTCTCTTTGGTGTAATTGTGCATTTCTGCTAGATCTGCTGTATGATCAGCAGATATTTTTTGAATTGCAAAATACCTAATCACCTTAGACAGAAAGCTAATTTCCCAGGGAAATTAGTCTCAGATTAATCTATGTTATTGAGCTGCAGTAATGGGGATAAAACTAGGAGAGACTTTCCACTATCCTTTATGCTTCTGTAAATTCTGAGAGGAAAGATAGAATATAGTTGTGATTTCTATGGAGATTCTCAGTCATCCAGGTCATGATTGTCCCAAAGGTGCTTTTTCAAAAGGCAACAGGACTTTGTTTTTCTTTGAAGATGTTTCAATTCTCATGCAAGAAGCTTCTTCAGTTCTGGAGCACTGAAGAAGCTTCTTGAATGAGAAGCGAAATGTCTTCAAGAAAAAATAAACTCCTGTTGCCTTTTGAAAAAGCACCTTTGGGGCAACCATGACCTGGATGACTGAGAATCTGGGATATATTCCCTGCTCCTCTGCATACATCTTCCCAACCAGTATGGCCAGAGGTGAGAATTCTGAGAATTGCTTACCTGGGAGTTGTGGTCCAGGGTGGGCAAGATTGTTCTAAATAGCAAGTGCAATGTATGTATGGGTCCATAGGAGCATATCTACGTTTATTTATTGATTTGATTTTTTAGATCTGCCCAACACAACAGAACTTTGGGCAACTAAACATAGGTTTAAAGCCAAAATCAGAATCAACAAGATAACCAATAACAAAGAAGAGGACATAGACATAACCAAAACAACCCAGAATACCATGTTATTCAATATTTCAGATGCTATTCATGTACAGTTTAAAAATAAACCCTAAGCACAAGTATCAGATTCAGTACTATAGATCATAGCAAGTCTACCTATTCCTTGCCGTTTTAATCTGAGCCTGCCTAACCATTTAGGAAGGCATCCTTCGATTCCTTGAAGTATTACTCAGTCTCCATTGCAATCTCTCTTTATAATCTTTTGTAGCTGGTGTATTCATCTGTTCTTGCAGAGTTGGAATGGGCCAGAAGACTAAGTCCAGTTCTTGGTCCCAGTGTAGGATTCTTTCTTACTGTAGACTTATCCGTTGTAATACACATAGAATTATGACATAAGCAATGAATGGGAGTGAGCAAAATGTCTCCTATTAAAATGGTAAACCTCAGATGATCCTTTCGACTAAGTCAAAAAGGTCTTTATGGGAAAGGCCAAACAACCCAAGATTATGGCCTTGCTGTGTGGGGATTGGGTTGTGCTTACTGTTCTTTTGCAATAATGGGACTTAATGAAAATCAAATAGTAGTTTCATGCGTAACAAATAGTGTTCTTTTAAAGTATCCCCAGGAAAAAAAAGTTAGTTTGGTTTGGAACATAAGTTGTTTTCTACTATCAAATTATTAATATAATTTATTTAACCAGGAAGAATTGTTGGATTTTATGTAGAAAGCACATCCACACCATTGCATATCTGATATTTATAAAACTGTAGGTGTCAGAATTAAATTTGGGATGTGTTGCATACAAAGAAAGACTTTAACTCTTGACTTATGGTCCCTCCTCAATATTCTCATCTGCAGTTCAAAATTCCCAGTGTTCCAAATATGTCCAGTCATCTTTCCCAGACATCAGTAAATGTAAAAAGAAACTGCCTTATTCTAAGTCAGGCTGTTGATCTATTTAATACATTATTGCCTATTCTGATTGGCAGTAGTTGTCAGGGGTCTCAGTCTCCCCCATATCTCTTGGGACTTTCTCTTTTTAAATGGATCTATCAGATTGCATGCAAGGCAAGCCTCTAGGTATAGCAGCAATTCTAGATAGCCATTCAGTTTTTCCTTGCTTTCCTAACACATAAAATTCTGGGCCTTTTGTTTGTCTCTTTTGCTTAGCCTTATGTTGACCCTCCAGATTATAACTTATCTAAGGATATGTGTAAATTATAATTGCATTTAATAATATGGTGTCAGATATTTATTATATCCCCTCTTTTTCCAATTATGTTATGTCCCTGAAGAATAAGCCACTACCTGCTATTTTACTGTTCAAAGCCCTATGCATATTGATGATGCTGTAAAAATGATAGATGGTGGCAGTCCTGGCCTTTTTTAGTTAGATCTGAGCTTGAAGTGGTTTCGTGTTTGCTCTGGGAAGCATTAATTTATAGGCCATGGCAGAACTATTCCTAATTTTCTTTTGAGCAAGTTAAATAAATTATAATTGAGGTGGGGCATCTTTTCATGTTAACTGTATCTCTCTGAAATGTAGGATGAATTTTGAGAGTGCATTTATATGTACTTATATGCTATGAAATACTTCATATAAATTATTCTGGTTATTTCAAGATTTGCTTTAGATTCTGATTATTTCAGCATTTATCTTTCTTTGTGCTTAAAGCATGAAACTACCAATTTTATAGCATGATATCAATTTATTTGCATATAATATTTGAATTCATAGTCATCTTCATTACTTTATCTCAAAAATCTTTAAAACCATCAGATAAACTGGTATTATTGTACCATATAGCAGATGAAAGTTACCTGAGACTATTGATTTTATGGTAAAGGTAAAATATGAAATACAGACTTCATGGTTCTTGTACTGTGAGATGAGTGGCGCATAAATTTGATAAATAAATTACCTTGAACAACCCAGGCTAAGATAGAATAGAGCTAGTGTGTGACTATATTTACAAAAGAGAGAAAAAAAACTTAAGAATCTCATCTTATAGCATTGATCACTTTAACATGATGGAGTATTGTGTGCTGCGGTTTCAGTATATTGTATGTTTTCCTTTTGTGTAGGGATCTTGATTGTTTTCTTCTTGTTGGTTAAAACATAAATTGGTAGTGCTTTTTTTTTAAATTCTAGCCCCTAAAATCATTTTGACCACACTGTTGAATTTTCTGACATTATTTCCAAAATTGGGGGCATGATTTCTTTTTCCATTTTGAGATGGGAAAGACATGGAAACTTGAAAGCATAAACCCAAGTTAACACTGTTAAAAAAGCATAATTCTCACTCAAACAGAAAAGAGGAAAAATCCCAACCCTGCCTATGTGTGTGATGCAACCCATCAATTTTACTTCAGTATGGCTTTTCTTCCACTTTCCTACTACCAAACATTGTCCATGATGGTCTAAGATGTGAGTTTAGCTAGATTATCCTTGTGTCTTCCTTTTAGATGCTTTCAGCAGTCTTAGAATTGCTCCAAATTAAATGCAACCCCTGGATTCATCTAAAGTGCCAATCACCAGAATTTGTTCTGGAGATTGGTAGATTCGTGAGACGAATCCCAGGTTAGATTACATTTGAAAAATTGAAAAGCAGGTAGGGGTATAAAATAGATGTCAAGTTCCCATTTTAAATAATGTTTCACTCAAGATACTTGACAGAATTTATTAGACGGCCCCTTGGTTACTTGAATTTCACTTTGAGCAATGGGCATGTCTGCTTCCTCTTTATGCACTTTAACTTTAAATCTATATATGTGTTTAGATTAGACATTTTCTGAAACCACTATTCTGCCTTCCTCAAACTAGTTGCCACCAGTCATGTTGAATAACAATTTCCACCATCCTATGTCAGTGAGCCTGCTTGGATGTGTTGGCCATAAATGATGAGAGATGAAGTCTAGCTGGAGGAAATAAAATTGGAGAAGGCATGTCAAATCTTCTGGGTTTTTTTTACCTATTATTTTAAATGCTTTTGAGCATGTGGCCATTAAATGATTGGCTTGCCAATCCACAAATCCATTATTAAATTAAGAAATAGGGTATATATTGTGAAGAGAACTCATCTATATCCAATTTACTCCTTTTAATTATAATATTTTATTGACTGTGAACCATTAAAAAGTTTCATGTAGGACTTTATTTTGATTAACTTCCCAATCAAAATGAAGCCCTATACAAATGTAAACTACTTGTTTGCCTAGTGCTACAATCAATATTGTGCTGTAATAGTCTTTTATCTGTTCCAAATTTCAGATAGATCAATTGAAATGCAAGATCGCTAGTATGGAGGAAGAGTGTTCCTTATTGAAGAAACAAACATTAATGACACCTCAGCGGGAGATGGAGGATCATGGATTTACTGACATTTCTGATTTGCAAGCTGAGAACCAGAGGTTAATTGCCTCACTTCAAGAGTTGCAGAATGCAATGCAGGTACATTCTGAAAAAACATGGATTTGAGAGTAATCCGTAGAAGCATTCTCTACTCTGAACCTTCTCCTGTATGGATTCATTTTTGTATTTAAACCGGGACAGCATTTGAAAGTGCAACCTTGTTCTATAAAAATTATTTGGTTGTAGAGGAACCCAAACATCATAACTCAGAGCATCAGGTGCTGCTAGACCCTCATTATTTGATGGTCTGCTGTGAGATTTCATCTATGGACCCTCCAAAGTTCTTTGTTGTATAGTCCAGATTTCTTACTTGGTGCCTTTGAGAAGTTTTGGACTTCACATAAATTTTCAAGTAAAAGGTTAAATAGGCTTGGGGTAATTTGTGCATTGTTTTATACATTTGGAACCCAGATGTCAGGGAAGGCTGCTGAGGACTTTAAAGGAAACCCATTTCATCTGCATATAATTAAAACTTCTATTTTAGAATTTCATTCTGGGCCTGTGACTGGATTGCTACTTCACACTAACTTTATTTGTTTTAGTTGTGGTTTGTTTAATAAACAAGTAAACAATTGATTCATATATCACATTTAAGCCATAAACAAAGCTTTGCAAGTTGTAGTGCTCACACAGTAAACTATGCCAAACTAAAACAAATCTCTGTAATGTGATGTATGAATCCAGTCTTTTGGTTCCAGGACTGTTATTTTTTTTTTTCTTAAAACCAAGTGATAAAGACTATTATTATAATTGAAACGAAAATGGGCTGGTCACATAGCAAGAAATGATGACAGGTGGACCAAGGTAGTCATAGAATGGATCCCACTTGATAAAAAGTGTCCACGAAAGAGACTTAAAACAAGATGGATCTATGACATAAGCAAGTATTGCAGGCCCAATTGGCAAAAGAAAGCTCAGGACTGTATTGGTAGGAAACATGTCTATCCTGCAGTGGATAGACAATGGCTAGAGTGATGATGATTTTTTTACTAGTACTATACTTCTACTACTATTTTCCAGTTGGAACTTAAGCATACAGATGATAGTCCAGTGCAATTAAAGGGCATCTGATTGGCAAACATTAAACTAGTTATATGTGTGATTTATATGTAGACCTTAAACAATTAAAGGGTGAATGCCAGCAAGGCTATTCTTCCTTTCCAGCAATGCCTTGTATTTTTGTGAATCACAGTCTTTGTTCCCTTTAAATTACCTCATCACAACATTGACAAATGTTTCTCCTTGAGTAGCTTCAGTACAAAGTAGTCTTTTATAATAAGTGTAAGACTTGCCACCCAGCTATAAACATACTATGTATTGCCTGAGAGTTGTGTTCATTCTTGCATTAGTACTGGATTAGAACCTAAGTTGGTAGAGTGCTAAAAATAAAACATATTTTAAAAAGAGGGCCTCTAGCACTGGCTTAGATGCTGCTAAAATATCAGTGGGTGGTATGAACAGCTGTGATTCTCAGCTGTTTGGGAGATGTAAACAGCCTGTTATATCTGGGTTACCAAATAACCCCTATTTTTACCCTGAAATATACGAATATATATATAGTTTTGAAATTTTCATTGAATTTATGATTTAAAACTATCCTGTATTGTGGATTCCAATTATTTGGTTATTTATATAAGTTATCTCATGATGTACAACTTACTCTAATTTGTTTTAGTTTTAGTGAATGTTACTTAAATACAGTATATTTTGGTTTAAAATTCTTCCTTTTTCTCAAATCCCTTTAATTTTTTAACCAGGAAGAATATATAGTTTTCAAGAAAAGTATTGGTAAGGAAGAAGCGTATGGATGCAATCAGTTGTATAAATCTATTACATACACAGCAAAATATTGCCATTTCCATTATACTCTATAATTTTTATCTAGAGTAGTTTAAGAATGCGTCCCAGAAAGCATGAAATTGTAAGGTTCTTATCTTGGAAGACATGAGCCTATCTGCCCATGTTCACAATCATCCATAAAACATTGCTTAGCTATGATGTTTTGACTATACGGTTTCAGTCTGACACAGCTTGTCTCTTTAGAATAGTATTTTTCACTGCTTAGATCCCCTCATATCATTCATCTAAATATAATCAAAACTAGAATTCTGCCTATACATTATTGGCTCTGACAGCTACTGTGGCTTACTGGTTTAATGCAGGGAGATACAGAGTCAGCCTGTGGAAGCACTATCAGGACTGAAGTAACTGTTAGAGATATTGAGACAAGTTTCTTGGGCTTCAAAAGGAAGCCAGTATATAATTGTGGAATATATTTCTCTACTGACAAGGAAGAGAGAGATCTGCTTGTGTGGTTTTCTGTTTTAGAAGACAGTAACTTGACTGACCTTAGAATCAATGTATCTTGATTTTGGAAGCAGGGGCACCATTCATTGCTCCATCTCAGGCAGCAGAATATCCCAGACTGCTCTTGCGAATGAATGAAAAGGCTGTTAAACTGCATCAATCTTATGCTTTCAAATAGATTTAACAGCCATTCTTTGCTTAGAAACTAAGGGGCCAGGCTTGCTAATTGGCAGTTTTCAGAATTCCTACTAGGCTAGAGGATTCAGAATTATTTAAAAGTGGACATGAAATTAAAAATGGCATGACACTGGTATGAAGTTTATTGCACAAATGCATCTTTCACTTTTGATGGTAGTGAAGATATATAGATATTGAAGTAGTTAGCCTTTCTTTAAAAAAGGCCTTCCAAGGCTAACTGAGGATGAAGAGTGTTGAACACATCTGGAGATTGTCAAGTAGCCAAAGAGTAGAATAGATAGAGCACTCTACTCTGGAGGAGATATTTTAAAATATTCTTAGGCAAGCATACCGATTTCTGTTCTCCCCCCCCCCAATGCCTTAATTATCCTGAAATTATTATGTCCTAGCACAGGGGTCTTCAAACTTGGCCCTTTTATGACTTGTGGACTTCAACTCCCAGAATTCCTCAGCCAGGCATGCTGGCTGAGGAATTCTGGAAGTTGAAGTCCACAAGTCATAAAAGGGCCAAGTTTGAAGACCTCTGTCCTAACAGATGAGTGACTTTCCTTCTTTACTGCTTAGAAAGCAAGGGAAGACCATGTGCCGGGCTCTGAGAGGGTTCTTCTAGACATTCTGGAGCATGATTGGAAGGAAGCACAAGCAGACCGACAGGAACTGTGTCAGAAGCTCAGCTCCTTACAGAATGAGCTGCAGTGTGCTGAACAGCTGAGAGATAAGGTAAGATGCTGTAACTTTAACCCCAGACATTTAAGCTTGGAGATACATTGGAACAGCCATGAAATCCTTGTTCCAGACATTAGTGAGTAGGGAATGCTTGTGCCATGGGCTAAAAGCAGAGCACCAGTCAAGATATTTTTGGACTCTGGTCACTGATAGTCCTTACTTTGTTCTGCCCTTTTGAAAAAAGCCAGCAAAACTTATGGAAGGAATCTTTTGCAAATTGAAACAGGCAATGGAAGATGATAATGCTATCCCACTTCCATCCCTGCAAACAGGTATATAAAAAAGAAAACAAGATTCTAATACTATTCATTTCTGGATCTCACTATGTTAGAATGAATATCTTCATAGAGTATCATTAGGGCAATTTGGACCTCAGCAGAAAAAATCTCCCCTATCCTTCTTCTAATGTCTTTTAAACATCAGGTACATGCTTTCTATTTTGGAAATTCTAAATTTACTCCCTTTGTCCTAAGCAATGCTTGATAATTGAAAATGGGGTGCAAGTGATGCAGAACAGATGCATGAACACTTTCTTCTTTTGAAAAGAGATTGCAAACTTCCAACTGCCTTTGTTTAGGATCTGAACATTTACTTGGAAAATAATCCATCTCTGAAATTTCTTTTCCAGTATCTGCAAGAAATGGAGGATTTACAATTGAAATTCCATACTCTGCAGAAGAATTGTGATCTGTATAAGCACAGAATGAACACTGTGCTTTCTCAGCTAGAGGAGATAGAGAAGGAAAGAGATCAGGTAAATCGCTTCTCCTCTGAAATATTTCCTTGGCTTATAATTATGGTATACAGTTAAGATTAAACCACATGTTATGGTAATAATATTCTTGCTACCCTATTTCATGCTACTCAAAGTAATAGAAAAATACAGAACCATGTAGGAATGATAAGATGGAAGAATGATGCTTGCTTTATATTTCCAATCCATCCTGTTTCTCAGTGTGGTTCTTCATAGATACTTGTGTAATATGACCTCATATCCTAGATCAGATAGAAACATCTAGAAGTCTGCCAGGATTGTTTATTTACACCAGTTCCCGGTTATTTGGATTATTTTTATTAAATGTGCTCTGCTCCATTGCTGTTGCTGTACAAGTAATTGTATACTGATTGAATTATATGTCAATGCATTCTCATTTCTCTATATTTCAAATAGCTATTTTACTGTAATTTTACTTTCAATTAGCAAATTCTTTGTTTAGAAAGGCCTGGTGAATACCAGAAGGGAGCTGAAAAGAACCATGGCATTTTATCTTTTTGATTATGGATACTAAAACAGCAGAAATTATGAAGCAATGTGCAAAATTGGATGTAACTTGTTTAGAATGTGATTTAGAGAAAAGAAGAGTGCATGCTATCCACAGTTCTGCCTATAATCTCACCCATCAGTTCCCCTTTCTCACTGTTTCCTTTAGGCCATTCAGAGCCGAGATGACATTCAGCTCCAGTATTCCCAAAGCCTCATTGAGAAGGACCAATACCGTAAACGTGTTCGGACTTTGGAGGAAGAGAGAGATGACTTGCTGAGCAAACTCACACAGGCTGAGGGCACACTAGAGGGACAGTTGCAGCGATGCTTGTGTAATAGAGGCCTCGCCAAGAAGGTATGCTTGGAAGAAAAAAGACAATAGAGGAGAATATTTGGAGCTCAGGGTTGAAATGAGGAGTCCTTGGTGCTCTCTGAGCTTGGTTGTTTTCTTGTAGTCGTTGTATTACCCAAACTAGGTAACATCACAGGCTAGTAATGATGATGTTGCCTAGTTGGGTAATGAAATGTCTGCAAGAAAACAACCAAGCTCAGAGAGCACCAAGAATCCCTCAAAAGAAAGATGAGAAGACCAATGACTCGTTGGAAAGGGAGGCTAGAATTTAATGGAATTGTCAGGCTCAAAATTCCAGGACCACACATGAAGTTTCAGTTAAACTGATTTATTGCAAAAAGCCTATGCACAGGATCTCCTCAACTGCTTAGAATTAGGTAAGTACTCAAGGCGGTTGGACTTAATTCTCTTGTGGCTACCAAGGATTTTAGGCTGATTCCCCTTTTCACTCTGCCCCCAGGTTCTGCCATCACTTCTCCTATGCAATTAAGCTCACTAGAGAGGAAGAGGGCACATGTGAATGGCAATATAAGCTACCTTCCTTGCCCTCATCTCCTAGATAACTGTAAGAGTGAGAAATCAAAACACAAGAAGCACATGTAAAAAACATTCTTTGTCCACTAAGAATGCAAAAAAGGACAGCTAGTTATTCCAGTCTTAAACTACATTAAAGTCTGTAGGATCGAAACTGTCCCAGATTCTTCTTTAAGCCCTTGATATTTCATCAAAATGAAACAAAAACAAATCCCATTGCATTTATAGGATTCTACCCTGATATTAATAACTTCTGGTATTGCAAAATGAAATTTTTCTCTAAAATGATTGAGTCAGTCTGGATGATTCCTAAAATTAGAAAAGGAATGCTCTTTTTACCCTCCATAGAACCAATGCAGTAAATGAAGTAACACAAAGAATTCTTGTCTGAAAATTAAGCATGTCTGCGTAGGAATGAATCTTAAAAGATGGGTTACTTTACCGAAGTATTTTGCATTCATCCTCTCTTTTTCTCTCCTCCTGCCCCCCAAGATATGTTCCTCTTCTCATTCACTCTACAGCAGCAGTTGGAGCATAATAGAGGATGGGATTGTAGATTCACCAGACATCCTGGACATTGTAATCCCAAGAGACTCTGTAGGGCCAGATGTGGTAAGAAGAGATCGCATAAGCCATGAATTAAAAAGGTGCAATCTTAAATTCTGAAAGACCTCACTTTGGTAATAGCTTTAATTACAACAAATTAGATGGCAGAGAGTAGTCACTCTTGACTGAGGTATAATTTTCAAAACCCATCTGATAGTGAGAGATGCTAAAAGTTGTAGCTCAGCAAAATGTGGAGGACTATATTGTGGTGGCTATTAATGAAGAAACACAACTGATGCTTTTTGGAGGAAAGAGCTGATATAGTATAAGATAATTTTATATGTTCTTAGAAACTGTTGCTGTTTTTCTGTTTAAGTGGCAAAAACTGATAGCCAAAGCTGAAAATATACTTAGGCAGAGTTGAGGGTTTAAGTTAGATTCCTACAACTAACCATCCCCAAGTTGTATTGGCAATCTTGGAAGTTAGAGCCCAAAACATCTAGAGGGCTTTAAATTGGGAATTGCAATCCCAGCATATGTATGGGAACTTGCTGAGAAGCCTCTTTTATGATTTTTGATGAGAACAGATGAAATTTCTATTCTCAGAACAAACAAAATTATGCAATCTTCTGTACTGTGTCCAGCAGATAGGCAAGACTGTCACAACCTCTAATATTGGCTTGTTGTGTACTGGACTCCTACATTAAGTAAATACTATAGGAAGCCATATCCATCAGTTATTGAGAGACTACAGTGAATTTGAATCAAGAAAATTCAACTGATTTTAAAATTTGGCAGTGTATAATGACTGAACCAGTAGTTCCCAACACAACTTCTTTAAGAGAACCTAATTTTGAGTTTGTGGGTTTAGATGAATAGCTAGTTTCGTGGCTGTTAAACCAGGAAACATCAAATTACAAATGACAATGAGATCTGTGGCATGTCAATATATTTGTGGTGCCCTTCTCTATCTTGGGTGTTTTCCATATGTGCTGGAATACATGCAGACGTGTGTAATTCTATTCTCTTACAGAAGGTTGGAGACAACTTCAAAACTACTTGTATGCCTTTAAAAAAAGAGTCTGTCAGCTATAGCCTATGTTCTCTTCATATAGCTGGCTTCCAGATGGAGGAGTAGCTTCCATGAACAAATTGGCTTCTATCCCATTTGCTTCCTGAAATTGGTTCTGTTCTCTCTCTTTTTGGTTGGGATAATTTTAATCTATGAAGTTGCTGGTGATAACAAAATGATAAAACTATAAATAGGACTTGAACCCTCCCTTTGTATCTGTCCTAAATATGCAAGCTGGATAGATTAGCTTCCAATTAGAGTTCTGGTATTTAGGCTACCCTTCACCAACTTGACATTTTCTAAAAGTGTTGGGTTTATAGTCCATTGGATTCCACCCATTATGACCACTCAGAATTCTGGAAAATGTCATCCCTAAGCCCTGAGAGGTTATCAGGTTAGTCAACAGGACTAGTGGCTAAGGCACCAATTAGAAACTGGAAGACTTAATTCTAGTCCTGTCTTAGCCATGAAAGCCACCTGGGTGACGTTGGGCCAGTCACTCCCTCTCAGCCCAACTCATCTCACAGGGTTGTTGTGGGGAAAATACTGTAATAGGAAGAAAGTGTGCTGGATATGTTCTCCACTTTGAGTTATTTGTAAAAATATAAATGGGTTAGAAATAATTAAATAAAAATTTATCACCTCACTTCTGTGAATGGTACCTCAATGCCTCAGTTAGATGATAACATGTTTACATGTGCATGCCTTTTGTTGAATAAGTTGTGATTAAAATTAATCACAAGCAGTGATATCAAGCCTAGCTTGATTGAGACAAAGAAATACGGGGTGAGGAGGTAGGGAATTGTCTGAATTCAACATATGTTTTCTGCTTTCCTTAGGAAGTGACTCCAGACAGAGAGAAAGAAATAAACCGGCTCTCCATCTTTCCCTTCCCCCCATGTGCGGGTTCTATACTTCGACGGCAGCGTGAAGATGGGCCAACGCCTTTCAAGAGGTAACAAATAGAGTAGACTGTAAAGAAAATTTTCTCGGTTGGCTTCCTGAACCTTGGGCTTGTCCATTTGGAAGAGCTAAAGAATCTTTCCTTGAACATTAATGCATTTTTTTTCCTGTCAACCTTTGCAACTTTATGGTGTGTGGACTTCAATTCTAGGAGTCAAAGTTCACACATCTTAAAGTTGTCAAGGCTGAGAAACAGTGCATTAATGTATGACTGATAGAGGAATATTGTACCTCAGACATGCAGAATGTCAGCATTACTGTGAATTCTGGATCATCTCCTTTTGACTTAGTTTAATTCCAATTGTCAAGTGGCAGAAACTCATGAGATATTCTTTCAGTGCTGAATTTGAACAATCCAGTCACTGCTCTTTCTCAAGGTTCTCCTCTCTGCCAATCCATCAGTTTTCTGTATGGGTAATAAAAGCATTTATCCTCTGGAAATGGAATGAAGGGAATGAAGTCATGGCAGAGAACAGAAACAGGCCAGGCAAGAGACAGGAGCACCTTCAATTCTAAGCTGCTCCGCAGAGATTTTAACTGTTCTGTTTTGAGAGAAGAGATTTTAGATTCTAGGATGAATGAAATAGACAAAGTTACCCTGCTCAGGTTACAAAAAAAGCTGAAAAGGGCAATTTATTAATATAGATAATACGATAACATGGTGGAGAATTAATGAAGGCTGGAAAGGAACTTCCCACTATTTTATATGTCCTCTGAATTATTTGAAGAAATGAAAGTATATTAATATAAGAGATTTGATTTTGATTTTTATAAAAAGCAATGTCTTTTTTTGTCTTTAGTTGGTCTTATGGGTCCTTTGGTAGCATGGAAGACTTAACAGGTATTGCTAGTCATGATTTCCTATCAAATATTTTCATCTTGAAAGCTGCTAGAGGGATTATTCACCTGCATGAATATGCATCCACCAGGGGGCACACTTGCCCTATGCTTCAGTTGCTAGCTCTGGGTTAATTATCCAGGGGCTCACTGGTGTCCTGCATGCATGCTTGACTCTCAGGTTATTCCTGTTTGGTGTACTTAATTTATTGGGGAGGGGGGAGTGGTTAGACAATGAATGCAATTCAGATTCAGAAAAGTAGAAACTGGAAAAGATGAATGTTTCACCTTCTGGCTGTTATTGGTTCTTGGTGACAGGTTGTAAATCTCTAGAGCCTGTCTCACTGTATATCCTGAGATCAGATAGTTTTGTGGCATTCACTACCAAGGCATCTAACAGGAAGATTGGCATTTAGCACGATCTGTCTGGATTTTTGCATTTAGATATTAAGTATGCCAAAGGTGTGCCCCAAACCCAATCATTCAATGCCTACAGCTTCTCTGTTGACTCCCTGAATGGACATCTGCACTCCTGATTTTAATGCAATATGGGGGTCCTTTAAAGAGGCCATATTTATTCCATGACTTGCTATCTTTTGGCTGATATCACCTTAAGTGACCCAAGCTTGTAGGTGTGAAGGTTCTTTCCTGAATTCCACCCATCCTATGCCATAGTAGCCTTGTACAGTATATGAAAGAGTCCTTTTCCATTTGGGGTTTTCTTCCCATATTTATGTCAGTGTTTATCCTCCCGTGAACCTCCCCAGCCTCTACATGCCATGTAAGAATGAATAATACGAACTTGTTCTCCATCTTTCTCCCCTTCAGGAAGTACCACCACCACAGCTTCTTCTGCCAGGTCACCTTCCTCTTCCAGCAGTGCATACACCAGGGCAAAATCAGAAGCCTGCCTCTCCAGTGATTGTGATCAACAAAAGTTTGCCAGAAGGTTTGTTTGGCTTTCTTGTTGGTTTCTAGAGACAGCTTTATCAACACAAGTGTCATAGAAAATAAGATTGTCCTCTACCATCAAAGTTCAAATCTCATCCCCCTGATGCTGCAGCCTAGAGGCACTACCTTCTACTTCCTTGACGGTTCAGATCAGCAGGCACCAACTAGGGAAGCTGTTATATCATGAGAATGGCTCTTCCTACTATTAGAATACAGTCTTTTAAAAAAGGAAATGGAATCCAGATTTGCAATCACCTCTCATATTTTTAGATATACTTCTCCAGGGCAGATCACATTAAAAAAGAAAGAAAATACAGCTCCCCCCCATGCAAATTATATTAGATCCAAATAATTGCAACAAAACAAAGCAAACCTTGTTGTCAGGTAAAATATAGCCTTTATTAACCTAGCTTTTTCCAAATGCAATCTAACATGAGCACTGCAATTCTCATATTCTCCAATAGGCCTGGTGCCTGAGGGGGGGGGTGATGAGAATAGTGATCTGTTACATCTAATATCAGATTGTGACAAGCTGGAATAGTTCCAACTTAAAATCTGGCAATAATTTTTCTTGCACAAGAAACGGAGGCTGTTGCCCAAGGTGCTGGGAACTTGCTGGCACCTGAGATTTGGTAGATCTATGAAAAAAGATACTATTGTATCAAGACAAAAAAATTAAGTTTGTGATTCATGTGTCCTTAGGCTGCACCATAAAAATATCTTGCCTCCCTAGGACCAGAATCTCTAGCAGTGTCATGAATTTAGTTATTGTACGGCTCTTCAGATGAAAACTCTGCAGTAGTTGTAGAAAATCTAGCTAGAACATTTTACTGGATGTGCCTTTATTGTTTTTGTAAAACAGAATCCATATCCATCTCTCCATTTATGCAGAGACCAGAATATAAATCCCTCTCATTGTTTCCTTTCCCTTTTAGATCGGTGATGGTGCATTTGTCCAATACAAGTCCCCTGAGAGTTCCAGCACTCCAGAGCAGGGGACTGATTGGAGATATTTCCATCCTTGGAGGAAACAGAACTGGGATTTATGTCCAGTGGGTGAAACCAGGCTCAGAAGCTGAGAAGGCAGGACTCCGAGAGGGATGTCGGCTCCTAGAAGTATGAATAGAACTCTGAAATTACGGCTAATTTCTATGAAGGAAAAGTTGGATAAGAAAGAGAGAAACACTAACTCTTGGACATTAACATTTGAAGCATTTATTTCAGTTCTACTTCTCAACATACATCTGACATACCCCTACACAACTTTAAAATACTCTTTCTGACATTCCCTTTCAGTTAACCTTTTCAGTTAATCTCAGATCATTTTATTTTTAATTTCATTCACCAGTGAGGCTCCTTGTCTTGAATTTTTGCCCAATTCCAGAACTTTAAAAAAAAAAAATCTCCATCAAAATTGCTCTGTGTTTTTTTTCATAACCATTCCTTCTCTTTTATTACATTATTTGCCATAAATACTGTTATTCTTATTTTTGCTGCAGCAATCATTTTCTTATATGGATTTTTTTCCCCCGCATCCACAAACTCTTTCACTTTATCATTCCACCAGGCATCCATTTTAAACTCCCCATTAATATATCTGTATCTACTTTTGTGGTCCTCAATAACACAGTTCTCTGTTCCAGGCATCTTCCGTATCCTCTTAACTTACATTTACTTTCCATTCATTCTTTTGGAAGATTAATCTATCGTCTAATATCTTTTCATATAGGGCTCATACTTTCTTTTCCTGCAGACATATCTTTTATGCCTTTCTTTTTTATTCCATGACAATTTTACTCTCAAGATTTATTCTTGACAGCAATAAAATAAAATAAAATAATCTGTCCATAATGAAAAGAGAATGCTGGAAAGGAAGCTTCTCTAAATTTCTTTCCAATTTCTATCTTTTGATTCTGGTCATTGGACTATACCAAACATGAAGAAATTGCTTATGTTTCTTACTGATTGGCCTTCTCATTGAGTATCTGATTCAATATTTCTCAGCAACTGATTGATTTTCAGCGTACCGTAAATGCCGGCGTATAAGACGACTTCTGCGAGTGCTGAAATTGGCGCCAAAGACGGGGGTCGTCTTATACACCGAGTCGTCTTATATGCCGGAAATACTGGTAGTTTCCGGCGTATAAGACAACGTTCTAGGAATGCGGCCCAGCTATAAAGACGGGGGTCGTCTTATACGCCGGGTCGCCTAATACGCCGGCATATACGGTATGTTATACTAGCTTGAGGAATACAATTTTGAACTAAATTATCTCCCCCCCTCTCTCTCTTAGGATGGTAATACATATTGTTTCATTTGTTTAGAAATACAGCAAGTCAATTCTACTATATTTGAGTGCCTTCTGTTGAGCAAAGTCTTAGATTGTTGCTCCAACAGAATGCTCTGATGGTGCCTCTTGAGGTGTCAAGCCCTTTGAGACAGACAGATTCAGAAAAAAATAATTGCTTGGATTTCTGGAACAAACTTTAGTTCTAATAGGATAATGTAGCAAAATCTTGAAAACCTGCCAAAACAATTCTTCAGCTCAATTAATACCTACCATAATTAAGATGGGGTTACTCTGGGTCTGTTTCTTACATTTCCCCCTCCCCTAAATCATTAACAGCCCTGCTGTTCTTTTTTTAATCTTTAATCTTTCTCCTATAATGGTCTTTCTTTCCCTTCCATATTTCCAAGGTCTGTTTGTTATTCTATCACAATAGGAGAATAATAAAAGTGGAATTGTTTATGATGTTAGATTATTCCTTGTGTCTGACTTAGTCACTGCTGTTCATCAATTTTATTTATAGCCAAAAGGTTTTAAAAATGTTTTTGTAAAACATTTTGGGCCTTTGGGCCATAAATAAAACTGCTGTTAATGTAGCCTGCATACACAAGTTTCTCCTGTATGTAGTTTTCTCAAATGATGCCGTTGGTCAGAAATAACCAAGCATGGGGCAAGCATCCACCAGTAAACAAAAGCTTGTAACCTGTTTGGGAATCTTTATGGGAGGTGTTATTTATTTTAAGAGTTTACAAGACTTCCATTCTTTGTTTAAAGGAAGATCTAAGAACCCAGAAACAGCTTGTTTCAAAGATCTGTTAAGGAAACCTCCTATCCAGCTTGCATTCATCAATAATCTTTTGATTTCTTGTTTAGGTTACAGTTGTAAAGAAGGTAAAAATATTTAAGCCCAGAAATGTTATTCTGAATCTCCCTCTCCCTCTCCCTCTCTCCTTCTCTCTCTCTCAGCTTAGGGAGGCACAGCTAAATGGAGAAGGGCTATCTTTGGAGAACTGCACATTGGAGGTTGCTCACTTAAGCTTGTTGTACTGGAAGGACCCATCTGCTCTTCTATTCTCACATGATGCGAGAGGTAAGTAGCTAAGCAGAAGGTGTCATGGTGTGTTCATTTATCTTTAATTCATTTGGACATATTGAAAATATTCTGCATCTGTGCTGACCATATTAAAATATATAGAAATGAATACCTGACCATTTATTTTTCATCTCTAAAGAGCAGCTGATTGTCTGGCAAGCTGCTGGTCTATATGGACCCTTTAAAACTCTTTCCTTTTCTGAACTCTCTTTATTAGGTTATCAGCCTCTCAAAGAAGCATCGGATTCAAGAAAGAAAATTCTTGGTGACTCATTTTATGTGCGTACTAACCTGAGCCTCTTGGAGCTTTCAAACCCTTATGCTCTATGTGTGAAGTGTCGAGAGATCCTTCATGTTACCGATACCTTGTACAAGGGGCAGTTGGAATGGTATTGTGCTCGTGTGGACCCCTTCACACTTCGAGACTTGGACAAGGGCACAGTACCCAACTACAACAGGTAATCATCCTTGTTCATGTGTTAGAATTACTCTTCTATGCCTCAAAAGGGGAAAAAAGTAGACCAGTCCATTTTCTTCACCTGATCGTAGCTCAGTCATTGAAGATGTGTGATGAGTGCAAATTCTACCCCTAATATCCCCAGTTATGTAAAGAAAGAAAGAAGCAAATGTGCACATGACTCGAAATCAGAGCATGCAATATTTTAATAGAACCTTTAAGCCAGCTTTATATTCTCTATATAACAAAATTATATAATTTTGTACTTATTGTAATGGAAATATTGTGGTAACCTACAAAGCAAAGCACCGCTATGATATGTGGGTATTGTAGATGCAAGGTTTGTAGGAAAGCAAGTTTTTGTTGGGGAAAGGAGATTCTGCTAGCCCAGTTTAATTTACAAAAGGTTCTGTGCCTTTGATTTACAAAATTCAAAAATTTGGAGAATGAATGAATGAATGAATGATGATCTTAAGATACATTTTGCCTACTAAATGCTGTTAAACTCTAGGCTGCTGGATTTCTCATCAGTTCTGAAAAATGTTAGTTTTAAAAGTTTTTAAAATAATTCGTACTATTTCAATAGTAGTATTAGAATAACTGTAGATGCACTTGGGTTTTCAGGATTAAGAATTTTATTAAGTATTGTGCTTTTACTTTCTTGCTATCAGAATTTTAGAGAAGACTGGGCTGATAAGTATGAATAAATACATGTAAACAGAGCTGGAACTGGCAATCTGGAGTAAGTGGGGTGCTCAGTGGAGAGATTTTAATTTGCCAGTCCCATGTTCAAATGCTAGTGAGTCAGAAATATCCATAGGAATTTTCATGATCAAAATTTTTGTTTTGAGATTTCCACCAATATATCTTTGGAGAAAGAAATGAGAACTGGGTAAAGATGATTGAAACAAATATAAATTAATATTTTTTTTATAAAAAAAATAGGTTTAACACTTCTAACCTAATACCTTCCAGGTACGTTGGATTACATATTCTGTTGTATACAGCTTGCTGATGGAAATGATAGATAAAGAAAGAAAGAAAGATAGATGGATAGATAGATAGATAAACATCCAGTTTATCAGATTGAGGAAGCATTTTATTAAAGAAACCATTGATTTAATAATCTATTACGTACTATAAGATAAATTTTTAAAAAACCCTGTGCGTTGGCAGCAGATTTCTGAGTTGAGCTTAGCAGAGTTAATTCTCAATGCAGATGGCAGCACTGTGTTTTTTGAAATGGCATTTCTTTAAAAATGCTGAGTTCTCATATATATACCCTTTTGAAAAAAATATTTTCTTTAGAGTTATTATTTTAATTATACATTCTTTTATGCATATTTAATTTAACAGTGAATTGATTTGGTCTATAATCTGAAGTTTCCTGAAGTTGGCTCAAGAATCATATGATGCCTCACCAGCAAAATAGGGGGCTATAAGTTCTCCTATTGTCTGGATTTGTAAAGTTCACTCTCAGAATTCTCAGTAATATGCATGTTCAATGGCAGCACTAAGAAGTTTATTCATGCCTTGGTCACTTCCCAGATGGACTATTGTAATATACAATATATGAGGCTGCCCCTTGAAATCTGTCCAGGAGTTACAATCTATCCAAAAAAACAGCTCACACAGTTCTGTGTACCTCTTGGTTTTACCCACCTTATAACATTGTTGTGCAAGCTGCACTGGCTTGTTTCTTTCTGGGTACAATTTCAAGCTGCTGGTTATCACCTTTAAAGTCCTACACAGCATAGGGCCAGGTTACCTGTGAGATTGCCGATTCCGCTAGATTGGGTAGAGTAGGCATGCTCCAGGCCCTTCCTTCAAATGTTTCCATCTAGTGGATCCTGGGAAATGTGTCTTTTCTATGGCAGTCTCCTATGCTATGGAACATCTTTTCCCTTGAGATCTTGCAAGCCCTCATCCTCTTAGCCTTCTGTGTGGATATCTGGCTTTTCCCCCCAGGTGCTGGGACCTTAAGGTTGTAGCCTGGGAATTGAAGAGATGAAGTTAAAGAGTTTTGGCTTGGGATCCTGGCTTTTCTTGATTTCCCCTCCTCCCCTTTTTTTCTTTCGCATTGGTTTTCTTACTTGTGTTTTTATCATGGCCAGAGTTGTGTGCCACAAAATGGGCAGCCATACAAATCTTTTAAACACAAAAATAAATAAATAGAAAGGAAATTCATCAGTTCATACATCTGAGTGGAATCCAGATTAACATAAATTCTGTGACTACTTTGTTTTGCGATCCCTGTGAGAGGAAAACATGGTATATTAGGGTGAGGCATACCTGGATTAGGCAGCTAATGCAATTAAATTTCATTTTTGATGTGTGCCGTTGTGCCCACAGTAAGAAAGACAATAAAGTTTATCTTATCTAACTCATATTTACTCTGGGATTAATGTGGTGATTTTCTTACTATGGTAATCATTTGGTGGGAAGAAATCATAGTGGCCCTGTCATACTTCCCATTCTGTCACGGCAGAGATAAAATGGCAGTTTGCCAGCAGATTTCATCCTTCTGTCGTGTAAATACAAGCTGGAATTGCTGTCAGATGCATTTTGTTGGTAACTGTCTTACTCCAATCCCGTTTGGGATTTTGTCTCTTTATCTTAATGCAGTCTTACATTGTATTATGGGAAAACATAAAATGCAGCTTTTCACCTGAAGGGCAGATCTATGCAAATGGAAGCAGTCATGATTCTCAATGGTTTCTATTATGATCTAAAGGACAAAGGATAAAGGCTGGCAAAAGACCAGGACTTCCAGCTCTGTGACATGCATGGCAGCATTTTAAGAATGGAGGGGAGGGCCGAGTAAACTATTTTGCTGTCTCCTATATAAGTTAATGCTTACGTTTTGAAAATGAAAATTTAAGGTGTTCTGTTGTGGAATACTATTACATGGAAGACACAAGATATCTCAGTCTTTATTAAGAGGCATTTTCTCAGAAGGTATAATAGGAACTAGTTCATCATTATGAGAAACGGGAGTTGGTTAGTAACAACCTCCTGTTCTACTGTTATATAAAATGGAGAGCTATAGTTATGGCTTTTAATCACCAAATGATTATAAAAATGATACTTTTTTGACTTTAGTATGTCTTGGGATACCTCTAGATAGTATTTGGCATTTGTTTTGTTTCATTTTAGGCTGCCAAGGGTCTGATTTTCAACTGATGTCATTCTTTCAGGGCTTACCAGCTCTTGAAGATACAGATAGCAATGTGGCAGAAAAGCTGCAGGAATAAGGTGAGCTGGAAGTGAGAGACTGGGGACAATGGATGGGTTACCTAGAAAGAACTAATAGTTCATCATTGATTGGAATTGTCATCCAGCATATCTGGAGGCCACCAAGGTGGAGAAGGTTAATTTTACTCATCTATATTCTGCATCAAAGGTGAACTGCAAATATTGCTCTTCTTTCCACTAACCCAGATAAATGTAGCTTGAATACTGAACAGTGAGAGAAGAGTGTTTTATACAAGTTCAGAAGGACTTTTTTCTTATTATTACATCATATTATTAGAGCACAAAGTCTTACTGTTCTTAGCCATAATTGAATCTGTTCTTTCATCTAAGGGTCTCAAACTGGTATAAATGTGATTATCTAAATTTATTCTACTCTGTGAGATTGGCTAAACTGAGATAAAGATTGAATGGCACAAGCTCATCCAAGAAACTATTTAACTGTGGGTGATTTGAACCCATTTTCTTTACTCTAAGTCCTGTATCTATTATATCATAACAAATGAAATCTCAGTCAAAACTGTAACTTTGTCTTTATCCTACAGAAATAAACTCATTTTCATAATCAGCCTGATAATTGGTGCAAGGGCCAATTAGCAATGGCAATAGCACTTAGATTTATATACTGCTTCACAGTGCTATACAGCCTCCTCTAAGCAGTTTACAGAGTCAGCGTATTGCTCCCAACAATCTGGTCCTCATTTTACTGGCCTCGGAAGGCTGAGTCAACCTTGAGCTGGTGAGAATTGAACTGCTTGCTGTCAGCAGAATTAGTGTGTGATACTGCATTTTAACCACTGTGCCACCTTGGCTCTTTTTAGAATTAGTTAGAATTAGTTATCTGTGTTAAATACTAAAATTGAGGAGTAAAGAACTGGATAGCTGATTTCCTACCACATTGGTAAAGTAAAAATATTTTATCAAGGGGTAAGAACCCTGTACAGTAGCTATTTCTATGGTGTATTTTCTTTCTGGAGCTGAAAACAAATTCATTTTTTCTATTTTATTTATTTTTATTTTGTATTTCTTTTTTTAAAAAAATATTTTATTAATTTTCTAATTTTACATTTAGGTATTTAGAAAGCAACATGGTGGCTGGGTTAATCAATAGTTCAATAACATACAAAAATCTTTAGTACAAATCTCAAGTTACAACATCAAATATTTCCTCTCTTTTTCCCTTAATATCTACTATCTCATATTTAAGCTAGTACAGTTCTTATTATATCAACTAAGTAAAAACATCATTATTATATTTATCAATAAAATTTTAGCTTATACATATCTTAATTACTTTTACATTCAATCTTTATAGACAAATCAATGTCCTGTTATTGATTTTTCCCAATTTTTAGTTTCCCATCAATATTCAAATTTAACATCTGATATTTATAATGTTCAGGTTTTAGGTAACCAAAGTTTCCCTTATCTCAATTCATAACAGATTCTAATATTCAAAATACACATCTTATCTATTTGAGTATAGTCTTGTTCTATTTCCTAAAAGTTATCTATTTCCCACCATATTAAATCATCTAATTAATAATACAGTATCCCCTTTAATAAATCAAAACCATTATATATATTGTCTGGGTTAATCAATAAACATATTCATAAATTTTTTTCTTTTGGATCTAATTTTTAAATATTAAATAAATAGAATCCTTATTTTCAACTTATTTCCAAATATTTTAAATTTAATGACCAAAATTCCCCTTATCTCAACTTCTCTCTTTAACCCTCTAATTAGTAATATGAAATCCCCTCTAATAAATCAAAACCCCAATTTTCTTCAGCCTTATTCTGGCTTTCTTCCTTTGCCAACTAGTCTACCATGTCAGTGCTTTTAAATCATCAAATAGATCTCCCTCTATTATTATATATATTATTTGAAATAAGACCATTTAGTTGCCATTTTTTTGGAAGGGCTAGCCCATTTGTATTCATTAGATCGTCTCCCTATTATTCCAATTCCCCATGATTGTCCTGATATGTTTATCTTCCATTCAATATTTTGTATTTCTTAACTACCCATCTCCCTTAGAGATTTACATTTTTTTCTTTAGATTCTTCTATCTTAAACTAGTGATATGTTCTACTTTTCTTAGTGAGCTACATCTCGACAATCTTGAAAATTTAGCTTCCAATAATAAATATATGGGTGTATTTTTTGCCAGCATCTGAATAATGCCTTCCTTGTGATTCCTCTTTTCCCTTTCTTCTCCCTTTCCTTTCGTCTTTTTAGCTGAAGAAACGGACCTTGAAGCAGCTTCGCCTGGTGAAACTCAAGAAACAGGATGAGAACCCTTGGCTGGACTCTTGCCCAGGTGAATTGTTATTTATCTTATGTCTCAGTCCACATATAGATGGAAGAAGCTTAACACTATACTTCCATTTTAGATTAGTAGCTTCTGAGGGACCAGGAGGTGTACTCTGTATGTTGGGATATTATACCTTTGCACATTCATAAGAAATTAGAAATTGATGCCTTATTAAGATTCTTAGCTTGCCTTTGAATCATGCTGTCAGGACAGCTTACAATAAAATATTCAAAGCTTGGTAAATAATTAACATATACAAATAAATGTAAAACCAGGGAGTCTTCTAAAATCAGCATATAAATAATGCACTGTATGAAACGCACTAAAATAAGTTAAAGGTGCAATAGAAAGCAAAATCAGCAGGCACCAGGAAGACATTGGATTAGGGGGCAGGTGAATCTTCCTGGGAAGTGTTTTCAGAGCCATTATAGCTCAGGTGATGAAGAATTCTTTCTCCTAATGACTATCAGAAATGACTGGGGAGAAGAAGATCCAAAATAAGAATATGTTGTTAAATCCAGTGTGTATAGTATCTTTGTCTGTGAGTGTTCATGCATGTGGAGATAATAATGGAAACATATATTACTATCTGTAATTGAGAGTTTAGGATCTTTCCTGCAACACACTACTCCCCAGGGCAACAATTTACATTGTCTTTATATGCATATTCAAAGGCTTCTCAGATCCGGTGCCTTCCAAATATACTGTTCTGACAATCTTGTTACTCTCGACCTGCTCCCTGGGCATGATAGATGTGTACTTCAATATATCTAGAGGTTACCAGAGTGCAGATGTTTGCTTCATGGTATGACACACTCCTTCATGCATGTAGAACAGCTTGGTGCCTATTTGTTTTTAATCTCAGAACATGGCCAATTTAATTTGTAGTGATTAGACAGTAGTGATTTACGCAATACATGAGCCAAACAGCTGTACCCCTTCTTTGCAAATATGATATACAACTAGAGGTAGTCCTCGACTTACAACCATAATTGAGCCCAAAATTTCCTTTGGTAAGCAAAGCAGTTGTTAAGTGAGTTTTGCCCCATTTTGCAAGCTTTTTTTGCCACAGTTGTTAAGCAAATCATTGCAATTGTTAGATGAATCATGTAGTCATTAAGCGAATCTGGATTCCCCCCATTAACTTTGCTCGTTGGAAGCCAGCTGAGATGGTTACAAATGTTGATTACAGGATCCCTGGGCAGTGCAACTCTCATAAATACATGCCAGTTACCAAGCATCTGAATTTTTATCACCTGACCATGGGAATGCTGCAACAGCCGTAAATGTGAAAACCACTTTTTTCAGTGCCTTTGTAACTTTGAATAGTCACTAAACAAATAGTTGTAAGTCAAGGACTACCTGTATTAGAAACCTAGGAATCTTCCTTATATGGTATCTCTCACAGTTCTTCTCTTGCTAAACTTGCATATATAAAACTAGCAAAGTCTCTCCCATTATTCACTGCTTTTTACATACAGCTGGAGTTGAAAAACCATACAGTCTGGTTCACCCTGTAATGGTTCAGACCCGTCGCCCCGTTATGCTTTCCCCTGGATGCTTAGCCCCTCTGCTCCTGAGGAACCTTCTGGACCTCCCTTCTTCACGTCAGGATTTCTGCTTTATCCCAGCGGGTAAGCTAACATATTGAATGTCCTAGATCAGGATGTCTAACTCAGAGGCATTCCAGAGTGTGAACTTCTGAGTTAAATGCAGGTAGTCCTCAATTTAAGACCACAATTGACCCCAAAATTTCTGTTGCTAAGTGAGACATTTGTTAAGTGAGTTTTGGCCCATTTTACAACCTTTCTGGCAACAGCTGTATCACTGTAGTTGTTAAGTTAATAATACAGTTGTTAAGTGAATCTGGCTTGCCCATTGACTTTGCTTGTCAGAAGGCTGCAAAAAGTGACCCCGGGACATCATAAATATGAGTCAATTGCCAAGCATCTGAATTTTGATCATGTGACCATGGGGGTGCTGCAATGGCCATAAGTGTGAAAACGGTCATAAGTCACTGTTTTCAGTGCCATTGTAACTTCGAACAGTCACTAAGCAAACTGTTGTAAGTCAAGGGCTATGTGTAACCTTCCTTTCTTATCAGGGAGCACAAAAGCAGTTTCTTTCTTTCTGAGAGTGTCTCCCCATTCTGCATCTTGAAGAGAAGCAGAACAAACCTTCAAAGGAGGCCTCTTGTATTTCAGCCCGTGCTTACTGTTTCCACAGTGAAAAAAGTTAACAATCTGGGTCAGAAAAATTGAATTCTGAGATACTGCATTCATCGACAGAAAATAAAACCCAAACCAGCCCATCTGAATGCCCTGCAAGATTGCAGCAAAAAATGTTCTGTCCTGAGAGCTTCATCTGCTAATGCTACAATTATTTGCATGGCAGGTTGAAATCCATCAGGGAAAACTGAGATAATATTCAGACTGTGTGTACAATAGGACACATAGGAAACTCCTTCTGAGAGCAGGATCCCTGGATAGGTCTTGAAGAAAAATGGCTTTCTCTTCATAGATCTTACAAAAAATATTGGAAATTACAATGTAGTAGAAATTCTTTTTCTAGACTACTTTGTGTTCTATTAATTCTGGTCTTTCTAAGAGCTTTCTTCTACTGCTGCAATCTTTTTGCTGTCACTCTCAACACAAACTTTTTTCTTTCCCTGATCACAATGTGGGAGAATAAAGGGAGTCATCCTTTGAGAGAAAAAGTAAAGTACTGAATAATAAACTAATCTGCAGTTTATTTCTTTGCAGTCACAGAAAAGGTAATGGTAACAATGCCACTCCCTTCACTATTTCTTCTGAATCCCCCTGTTTCCTTAGAGGAATGCTTTGTGTGTTGTATGATGGGATATTATCCCATCATCTGCATTGTATATTTTAATATGTGTCCAATTGACCTTGTGTGGGAAGATGCCATTTTGCCTTTTGTTTCAAGACAATAAAATGTCTTTGGGCTAAACCCATCTTTTTTATCCTTACTTAGTCCTAGTGTTCGACGGACTCCACTCCAGACTGCAGGATTAGGTTTTAATCCTCTGAATACTTAATGGAAAATAAATAATATTAAATTCAGTGGGGTTTATTCTGATTAAAGATGCATAGGAGGATTGAGGCTGACTGTCTTAACTTATAATTTGGAAGCTTTTTTGTGGCATTCAACACATGCTTCTTAGCTCTTTTCCCCCTCCATATGTTTTACTATCCATCTTTTGTTGTTGCCTCCTTTCCTAGATAACCTTGCAAAACAAAGAGCATTCTGTGCTTCTTCCAAGAATGTTGTTAATGCTGAGAGGCTCTCCCAGAATCAGAGGGACTGTGGGATGATCCACATGATCCAGGAAGCTATTAAAAAGGTAAGAAAATGGATCCCAGCTCCATTTATTTGTTAGATTTATATCCACCCTTTGTTATGGAACTCAAGGTAATGTACACACCTCCCATCCAGAACAAGAAACCTGTGGGGTAGGATGATTTGAGAGAGAATGACTTCCCCCGCACCCATGCCTTTGTGTATTAGAACCAGTGCAGCACTTGGACCACAAGCTTGATGTCTTCTATGGGCTTGCTTTAGTGTGGGAACTACATAAATTTAACAAATGGGCCACTTTTTGCTATAATACTGCTTGTGCTAAGTGCTATTAAAAAATCTGTAGAGCTGGAGGCATAATGTCTATGTTGCAAATTTAATGTAATGAAGAGACTGATGGCCCATAGGCCCTTCTCTGGTAGATTAAAAATGCAAGATCAGCAAAATAAGCAACGGAAGGTATAAAGCAGCCTTCCCAAAGTATGCTTTTCAGATCTGATGACAGTTCACATAATCCACCAGCCATTAGAAGGATGCCAGTTAAGGAAGATTAGTATAAGCTTGTCAGAATAGAGAAAACCAAGAGGATTTTTTTCGTGTGTGAATAGGAGAGAAATGTGGTCCGGTTTTGGACAACCTTACAGCATTCAGTCAATAAAATTGAATGAAGGTAACAAATAAAAGGATTGGTAACTATTTGTGACAGGGATCTTATGGTTCTGAGAGCAAGCCAAATTTATTAGGATGAAGCTATCTCAGACTTCTGGATGACAATTGAGAACACTTATCCTGCTTAAAATCCTCCTATTGAGTGGCTGATACATGGAATTAAATAACAAGCATAAGAATGTGGGCAACCACTTTGCAGAAGTTCAATGAATTCCTTTTAAGTTGTGCCTGATTACTGATTTGTGTGTGAGAACCAGCACTGTTCAGATCATAATTTCATCTGGTTAATTTTTTCTTACATTCTCTGACCTTTTCTGAGCTCATGGGACATATATATCTGTGGGAATATTTAGTCTTCAGATAACTCAGAAGACACTTTGTCCCTGAAATAGTCTGAATCCAATGTAGACATATAATAGAAAATACTGTGTCTATTATATCAACTGGCTCTACCCTTCAGTTCTTTTTTCTTCCTTGTAAGTTGGTTGTAAATTCCATCTTTTAATAGAATTACTATTGGAAAAGCAATAAGGTTTCATACTATGGGATTTGATTTAGATAACTAATCAGAAATAGGTTATTTCTTTTCCATCTGAATCACTAAACCTGTTGGATTTCTTCACAGAACCAACACTGTCTGCTGGAGCTGGAGGTCCAGCTGGTAAAGGATCTAATTAAAAGTGAAATATACCCCATCATTATCTATGTTAAAGTCACTGAGAAAAAGATCAAAGGAATCAGGTATGAATAAAAGCCCTTCTCAGAACTGGAATGTGGGTGGAAAGAACTACTGTCTTCCCAAATATAAGGAAGAGATATGGACTGGAAGAGAAACTGCTATGAAACAAGAATCATAGGATGAATGGGCAGAATTTAATCTTACAGGAGCTACTTTGTTTTTACTAATACCATAAGATCCATTAAGAAGATTTTGGAACAAAGGATGAATATTAGATGGATGCTAGGGAAAAAAAATCTGCATGCCAAATTCATTCTACCATATAAATAAATAAATAATACCCCTTTCTGATTACTTCCAAATATCAATCAATATGTTGTACATCATCAAAACTCTAACAGAGTTTTAGATCAATATCCCCCCCCCCAAAATAGGACTTATTTGGATGATTGTTGTATTGGTTGAAGATAAAGAAGTGCTCAATGAATATGATGAATTAAAAATATAGCACACTGATACCATGCTAGTTTTCAACCCTATGTATTCAAAGAGATCTTCCATGGTCTGCAGCCAGTACATTTGGAAGTGATCAGAAAAGAAACAGTTCTCAGGATATTCAGTGATGTACTGGTTAGGGCATCAGGCTAGAAATCAGCAGAAGATGAGTTCTACATCTGTCACCTACTCTTAGCCCTAGGAAGGAAGCAATGGCAAACTGCTTCTGAAAAACCAAGAAAACTGCAGGGCATTCAGGGCAGTCTCCAAGAACTGGACACAATTAAAGGGAACAAAAAAAATACTACTGAACTGACTACCTATCATAGACTTACTAGTAGAGAAGAAGTGATAGAGGGAGTTGAAGTTGCCAGAACTCTGGGCGAGAGTGACCACGTCATATTGGAATTCAATATAATGTGAATACAGGCAATATAACATAATCCAGCCAGTGTCTTAAACTCTAAAAGAGCTGATTTTAACAAACTCAGGAGCCTAAGAAAAATTCCATGGATGAAAATCCTAAAAGGAAAACAACTCAAGAAGTGTGGGAAACTCTGAAAAATATGATCACAAAAGCCCAGTCCAGCACAATACCACTGAAAAAGAAAAACAAAAAATCCAAGAAGAAACCAGCATGGTTGCACAAAGATCTCTCTGATAAATTGAAAGACAAAAAGGACAGGTACAAAAAATGGAAAGAAGGACACATAGCTAAGGCACAGTATTAGCAGATTGCCTGAATCTGCAAAGATGAAGTCAGGAAAGCAAAGGCTCAGAATGAACAAAGACTTGCAACAAAAGACAAAGATAAAAAAAAAAAAAACCAGATCTGTGAACATCTAGAAACAAATAAAAATAAAAGCCAGCATAGTTTTATTAAAAACAGATAATGCCAAACCAATCTTATTTCATTCTTTGACAAAGTAACTAAATTAGTAGACCAGTGAAATGCTGTGGATATAGTATACTTAGACTTCAAGGCATTCGACAAAGTAGACCACAACCTACTTCTTGGTAAGCTAGAAAAGTGTGGGATAGACAACATCATTGCCAGATGGATTTGTAGCTGGCTGACAAACCATACTCAATGAGTTGTCTTCAATGGTACTACATCTATATGGGGGGAAGTAAGCAGTGGGGTACCACAAGGTTCCGTCTTAGGCCCAGTTCTCTTCAATATCTTCATACATGACTTAGATGAGGGAATAGAAGGAGATCTCATCAAATTTGCAGATGACACTAAGTTGGCAAGAATAGCCAATACCCCAGAAGACAGGCTCAGGATCTAAAAAGATCTTGACAGACTTGAACAAGGAGCTCTAACCAACAATATGAAATTTAATGTGGAGAAAAGCAAGGTTTTACACTTAGGCAAGAAAATCCAAAGGTACAAGTACAGATTAGGCAAAACCTGACTCAAAAACAGTAACTATGGGGGGGGGGGACCTTGGAGTCCTAGTGGCCAATCACTTAAATATGAGCCAGCAGTGTACGGCAGCAGCCCAAAAAAGCTAATACAATCCTTGGTTGTATAAATAGAGTCATAGACTCAAAATCACATGAAATATTAGTACCGCTTTATAAAGCCTTAGGCCACATCTGGAATACTGTATCCAGTTTTGGTCACCACAGATGTTGAGACTTTGGAAAAAGTTCAGAGAAGAGCAACTAAGATGATTAAAGGCCTGAAGACTAAAACATATGAAAAAACAGTTGCAAGATTTGGATTTGGCTAGTGTAGAGAAAAGAAGGACTAGGGATGACATGATAGCAGTATTCCAGTATTTGAGAGGATGCCCCAAAGAGGAGGGGGTCAGTTTATTTTCCAAAGCACCACAGAGGGCAGGACAAGAAACAATGGATGGCAACTAATCAAGGAGAGAAGCAACTTGGAATTAAGGAGAAACTTCCTAACAGTGAGGACAATTGGAACAGCTTGCCATCGGAAATTTTGGGTGCTTCATCACTGGAGGTGTTTAAGAGACTGGACAGTCACTTGTCTGAAATGGTATAGGGTCTCCTGCTTGAGCAGGGGGCTGGACTAGAAGACCTGAAAGGTCCCTCCCTTTTCTATTCTGATTGAAAGGGATTGACTCTGGCATTTACAGTCTATGATATAGTAAACCTTCAATTTCATGCACTAATGTGGAAAGGTCCTTTAAATAGCAAATGGCATTATGACATTTTATGCATGAATAAAAAGAGTATAATATGCATGAAATGTACGAAAATGTACAAACAGTATCTAGACTGATTCACCAAGCAACAGACTTTCAGATGTTCAGGCAGCTTACTGCCAACAGGTTGAATTTTCAATGTGTGTTGTGATGGCAGGAACGTGGATTCTAATAGCTGTGAACCAAATATTTCTGACAAGGAAAAATACCTTCTGATTTCTGTGTTCAGCACAAAATGCCTACAAAAGCACTTCGCTTGGAGGTTTTGGCTTAATGAGTGTAAATCCAGAAATGTAGCTTAATCAAGAAATTGTGGTTAAGCAATTGATAAGTTAGCATGAAGAATGAATCTAGCCAATGAGTAAGAGCAGCTAAATTTCCTTGGATAGTATATGACTCCCCTTGCTTGTTTTGTCCAGAAATTACCATCTCAATAATATGCATTTGCTATGATCTATTTACAGTTTCATCAAAGAGCACTAAGAAACAGTTGGCTTAGCTAGAGCTCTGAATGTATGAATATTGACTTTATATGAATATCTCTCCCCTGTTGCCAGTTCTCCCTGTGATTCTTTCTGTATATCAATTATGTGGAAATGTTTTAATCTCTATGTTAAAAAAATACATAAGAAATAAAAATTATTTTTATTTTAAATTAGACTACTGATCCATCTTGCTTAGTATTGGCAACATTAGCTAGCATTTCCCCAAAAGTTAAATACTCTTGCATGGGGGCATATATTCTATTTAGTCAAGTACCTCCCCAAATATATTATGAATGACCCGGTTTCATTAATAGTAAAAAATATACACTCTGGATTTTTCAGTACTTGACTTGTCAAAGCTTCTGTCTGGTCTCAGCTATTATTGTTGAATAACGAGATTATTATAATTTGTAATACTGCACTAGTATAATGATTGGTGCTAACAGCAGCCAAAGAATTTGTATGGTGGCCCATCTGTTAAGCGGTGCAAGGATTGCAAACTTAGGAAACAAGAATTACTGGGATTTCTGGAAAGATATTTTATTTTTTAGAGCAGTGCAATATAATCCTAAAAGCCTGTCAAAGCAATTCTCCCCTTCAACTGTTAACTAATGTAATTAAGTTGGAGTTGTTCTGAATGTCCTTTTCCTGCTTCCCCCTTATCCTGGCCTAAGGCATCTCTTCTTTAAAAGCTCTGTTTTCTCCTTTACTTTCCTGGGATGTATTGGACATTCCATCACACCATCCATTCTTGGGATTAGAACATTAGACTTAAAATATGCTTTACTCAGCCTCCATCAACAAATATGTCATCAGTCTCTGAAAAGGTACATGATTAATGGTGTATTTCTCTTCTGTGTTCTTTCTAGGAGCCTATTAGGGAAGCCGGGGCAGCGAGAATCTGAGGTACTAAAGAAATGTCAAAGAGATGAATGGGTTCTCCATACCTTGCCCTGTTTGTGGGTATGGGTAGATCCTCAGTCCTGGAGCAGTTCAGAGGACCTGGTAAAGGTGGTACGGGCCCACATCTTCCAGGAACAAACCAGGATGGTGTGGATCGAGGAGAATGATATGTGATAGATGATACTGGTGGATTCATTTGTGCAGAAGAATGGCCTCTGCAGGACAGAGGCATAGGCTCTACAACCCACCAACATTGCCTTAGATTTGTCATGTACCCCATATAAAGTGCACGTTTGGTATATCTGGCATGTTCATGATCAGGGTCATTTCTTTTTTTTTTCTTAAGCCAAAAATTGGGGGCTAATGAATGAATGAATATAAATAAAAGAAAACTATGGCTAAAACTTGATTTTGGTTTTGTGTAGTGTCATACATTTTAACTGTAATTAATTTTATCCATTTCATCAATTGATAATTTTAACATTCTTTACAAACATATATATAAACATTTTCTATGTATGTTCTTGTTAGACATATTTTTGCAAGTCTTTCTCCATAATATATTTATATGTGGATTACATATAGTTTTGTATATAGTTTTTTGTTAGATAATTAAATTGGAGAACCATTTTTAAAAATATGGAGACATGCAAATTAATATATAATTGTATTTTGATTCTTGCATTGATTCAACATGTAGTTGATACTAGCTAAACCTGAATATCTAAGCAGGATAGATGAAAGAACATCAGAAAATCCTGGGGCTACAGGCTACTCTGGGAATTTAATTTTTTTTTTTTAAATCCTGAAAGATGGTATGACAAACCACTTCTGTACTGTATTGTTCCCAAGAAAACCATTTGGGTATGTCAATGAAGTCACTGGCAGTAGAGCCAGTTTGGAAGCTTGCCTTAACATGGGAACTTGTCACTACTTCCTAGATCAGGGGTGTTAAACTGCCAGCCTGCGGGCTGGTTTCATCATACCGGAGCTGCGCCCGCCCCATTGCTGGCAATGGCAAAAAAGCTCCGATATGTTGCGCAACGTCACGTGACGTCGCGAGTTTGACATGTCTGTCCTAGATTATTGTGTGATTAGCAGGGCTGATTCTACCATTAGGCAGAGTGGGGTTACCTTTCCAAAGAACTGGTTTAAGATAATCAGGGAATTCTAAAAAGCTATATATAAAATTGAAGTCTTCAATTCATTGTTTTACTTCTGCCCTCAAGGGATGATCTTGAATTTTTCTTCCCCAAACTTTTAAGAAATAAAAAACAACTAATCCTGAATATCTAGGTCTTGGCTATTAATAAATCTTTATTTAGAGAGATCAAAAGATTATTTGTTGCCTTACCTCAGGTAGCAAAATCTCTTGTACAGTAGATTGTGACATGGATGTTTGCAGAGGTACATTGGTCCACCTTGATGAACAGTTGAGGCAGAGCTGATCTGCTTTCTTTGGCTGATATGCCTTGTGAATGAAGGCACTGTTGCCTAGTGAATCAAAGTGACTGTTCCACTGATTAAAACTGCTTCAGAGAATATTTCAAAGGGGTGCTGCAAAGCATAAAGAAGATGATCAAGATGACCTTGATGGAAATATGCAGGTATTGTTAGGCAAATGGGCTGCAGAAACATTCAGAAACAACTCAGGCCTGATTCTTCTATCAGAAGACAGCACAATCAGATTTACAAGAATCTGCTATAATAGTCAGTCTCAATAAAGTTGTTTTAATCTTCCTGTGGAGTTGATTTCCTAGTCTGGTTAACCAGTGGGGCTTATAGCTGCTTTGCTGATCTCTGTTAAAGTGAAACACCCCTTCAAAGAACTATACATAGTCTTAGTCCTTTGTGTTGGTCCTATAGGCTTCTACTCTAACTCTCCCAAATTTTCTTTTCAATTTCCATGTTATCCACGATTCTTAACTCTTCCTTTACATCAATAGACATGCATGTTTAGGTGTTTGCAGGATGGTTATGCTGGAGGACATTGTATATAGGCACTGCATTCACACATTTCAGCAGGCAGTGCCCTTCAGCTGGTATAAAAATAAGTGAGCTTGCGAGAGTCTTTTCATTATGCACTTTATAGCATGTAAATTATTCATGCTCTCCCTTTTTCTGATGACCTGATGTAAAATAAAATAGCATTTGCAGTGAAAATGAATTGTTCATGGTTGTACAAATTAGGAAAGGCATAGCACAACTAAGATTAAAGGAAATTAAAGCTGCTCAGTATACTCTCTTGGGCAAGAGTTGCATTGCCTGTTTTTCTTTAATTGGTTTCATAGATCCTTCTAGGGCTTACTTACTAGAGCTATTGCATTTCTGAGTGGGTCAATGGTACAATTCTCTGTGCATATGGAGGTCAAAGAGAAGACTCTAAAAATATTAACTCATTGCTCACTCTGGCCTGCTATAAAATAAAAACAATCATGGCTTAATGTGGCTACTAAGAATATTTAAATATGTTAACAGACCAATTGCTGGAAGTACTTTGTAGAAATCATGTAAAAATTATTTAAAGCACCTTTTGGGCTGAGGAAGTGACTTAAATTGCTTCACAAGAAATGGGACTCTCCTTGCCCCATCCCAACAAATCAATTAAAAAAGGGAAACAAAGAATGTAAGCAAAATATAAAATTGGAGCTTGACATTTGGACAGTGCAGTTTTTACCTTCGGATTTTACTTTTGCAAAGTTATCGGAGCATGTGCCAGTGAGGTTAGGAAGCACAGAGCAAAACCAGTGTTTCTCAAATAGGACACTCAAGTTCCTGCGTATTTATATGCCATTATTAAAAGTTGAATCATTCTCACCCTTCAACTTCATCAGTGCTCTTACACACATGATACTATTCCTTATTGAGGGCCCTTGATCCTAGAGGGCTCAAATGTAGATGTCCTTTTAGCCTGCAGATTGTTATTTCAAAGGGAATGATGTTTGGGTACTGAATCTAGAGGTCCCTGTTACATTGAAGATCAGGAAGGTCTTAAATTCTGCTTTTGGCCTTTGTCTTTTGTTTGTTCTCCTATGTTGTGCCATGTGTTTATGAAGTGGCTGGTTTGTTTTCCCAATGTACAGACATGCACATGGCTCACTGCATTGTATGTGCAGATCTGTACATTGGGGAAACAAAACACTTTATAAATGCATGGCACAGAGGAGAACAAACCCATCAGGACAAGATTCAGCAGTTCATCTGCACTTAAAAGGCAAAGGCCACTCTTTTGAAGACAGCAAAGTCCACATTTTGGCCAGAGAGAACCGCTGGTTTGAAAGAGGGGTCAAAGAGGCCATCTATGTCAAAACTGAACAGCCCTCTCTCAACAGAGGGGGAGGGATACGACATCATCAATCTCCAGTCTACAACATGGTCCTTTCAACAGTTCCAAAAAGGCTCCACACTCATTTGCACTACTTAGGTAACCCTAATGACACCGATAAGTCCCCAGGGGCTTCAACAACTTGCTAAAAGAATGCAAACGACCAGCTGTCTGCAAGAGAGTATAAATCCTGCCATTCCCCACCATCCAGTCAGAGCTGGATGAGAAATGAAATGTCTTCAAAGAAAAACAAGAAAGTCCAGTTGCCTCGCAAAAAAAAGCATCTTTGGGACAATCATGACTTGGATGACTGAGAATCTTCATAGACACTCTCTTGTCCCTTCCCCTTTCATGAAATGCTTCATTTTCCAAGTTCTAGAAATAGTTTAATAGCATTAATCCTGGCTTTGTTTTTTGGCTGAAATTTTGCCAACATTTGAAGAATTCATTATCAGAATGCATAAGCATTCATAAGAATTCATTGCAGGTGGAGCTTTGTAATTTGAAATCTGCTTACGTATATTTACCATGCAATTTTGGATGATGGGAGTTCTAATTGATCAGATCTATTGATCAATCATAGACTTTGAATGAGATAGCTTCTTGTGGTTCTAACTGTAATTCTACTGTTAATTGCTAACACAAAATTAGGTTGAATTGGGTTGCATCATGCTGGAGAGAAGAATGCATAACTTCTCCTACTTTTGGTTACATATATGTTTCAGCCCTGCATATCAATGCTTTCGTTGGAGATTTAATTCATTTAAAAATGCATATCTCTCTTTTCTTTACCACACAGTGTGGCTAATCATATAAAAGTACAAATAAAAATCAGAAGCAGATCTTATTGTAAGATGCAAATTGCATCCAGATTAAACATCAAAATCTATTGAATAATAAAACAAATCCCTTAAAAGAAGGGATGCTGGCATTTTAGTGCCATAGCAGAGAAAATCTTACTACTTCCAGTGGAATTTAATAGTGATACTATTACTATAAGCAGAAGTTTGGGAACCCAATTAAAATACACAGGAGAATTTTCACCCATGGCAGGGCTGACTTGCTACAGTCTGAAGTAATAGAAGGAACAAACATTACTTGAATAGGTCATAAGACTAGTGAGTCTAGAGCAGTGGTTCTCAATCTGTGGATCGGGATCCCATTTGGGGTCGAATGACCATTTCACGGGGGTTGCCAAACAACGCAGTCCGCCATTTTCCCCCCTTTTCCTTAGCTGTGCTACTCCCTTTTATTCTATTGGCTTTTGAAACCAATAGAATAGACTCTCTTGAATAGAGTCTAATTCTATTGGCTTTCAAAAGCCAATAGGAATTGTCCAGGCTGTCTCTGTCCTGCTGAGCCCGCCAAAAGTCCCATTCTGCAAACAGTGCTGCACCAGTTGAGTAGTCCTCGACTTACAACCGGTTGAGTAGTCCTCGACTTACGACCAGTTGGGGGTCGCAGCATTAAAAAGGTTGAGAACCACTGGTCTAGAGCATTAAATTACATTAATATGCCAATATCTTTTAAGGAGAAGGAAGATAAACAGGAAAATGTAAGGCCTAGATCAAACCACTTCAAGTACAAAGTGAATGATACCAGGATGTTGTGAATCCATGCAGCTTTGCTGGATCAGGCTAAATAAGTAGAAGTTTTCTTTTAATGGACTTCCGGTTTTGCACAGTAGCGACTGGTTGCAGGCTTGTGTATTCTCCACATCCCCACGGCTAATTTCACCCTGCCACGGGACCCTAAATGGATCTAAGTTGCCCCAGAGAGGTAATAAAGAAAGAAGGGTGCTCCAGCGATTCTGGAATGGCAGTGGCCATTTTGTTTGACTTGGGGAAAG